TGTCTCTCTCTTGGAATTATAATAATGACACGCGGCATTCGGGAAAATTCAAGTCCGCGACGCCCTCCCCAGAAAGTCTCCCTACGGCCCATGCCAATTGATTTTGCAACAACGGCAAAGACGACACTGAACATATTTTGCCGCGTTAAATATTTGAATTATACGAAAATAAAAATAGTTTGGTGGTCGGCAAAAACTAATTTCACCATAATTTCACAATGGTCATGGTGTTATAAGATCAACAGAATACACAGATAAACAGTAAACACAGAAGTGTTTATTTGTGTCTAAGCCGGTAGTTGGAACTGTCCTAGTATACGATTTTTGGACCCCCCCCCCAGCCCCCCCCTCCTATCAATTTTGTACATGACCATTTATTTTTCAGCAAATTTATTATTATTTATTTTTTTGAAAAATCGTTCTGTAGGACAGACCCGTCAAAGCCAATATAACGATTGAAAAATAATCTTTGAAAATCCAACATGCCACGTATAGATACCATATATACTATTGTTGATCAATTATTCGTAATTGATTTAGATTTTTACAGATCAGAAAGAATGGATACCCCGCCTCTTCAGCAGAATACAGGCCACACCCTAGCTCCCGGGAATCGACCACCTCCCACCCTAGCTCCGGGATTCCAGGCTATTGTAGGGGCGTGTCAAAGATTGTATCCGGAGCAAAAAAACCCACTTCAAATCTCAACTGTTGTAAAATATTGGTTAGGTAGGTAGGAGGGGATTGATCTGTTGTAAAATATTGGTTAGGTAGGTAGGAGAGGATTAATCTGTTGTAAAATATTGGTTAGGTAGGTAGGAGAGGATTAATCTGTTGTAAAATATTGGTTGGGTAGGTAGGAGGGGATTGATCTGTTGTAAAATATTGGTTAGGTAGGTAGGAGGGGATTGATCTGTTGTAAAATATTGGTTAGGTAGGTAGGAGGGGATTGATCTGTTGTAAAATATTGGTTAGGTAGGTAAGAGGGGATTGATCTGTTTTCTCAATAACGCCATTGGGTTATTTCTTAGAGAAGTATTGTTGGACCCTCCTCCCCCGCAATTCATCAAAAATGTACATGGTCGAAGTATGACTTACGGCCGCAGCGCCCGGCCCCCTAGCCTGTTCTAGCCGCGGTGTTCGGCCCAGAACTTGTTAAAACATATCTCAACCCTGGAATTAACCAAATTTTTCATATAATTTAACTATGCACATATTTGGCAGCGGCCAAACTCGTGTTACTCGCGAATGGTGCAATGAATTATAAGAAGAGAGAGATTAGTATATATTTTAGGGTTAAGTTAGGTGTTGATATTTCTGGGCCGTGCACTGCGGCTAGGACAGGCTAGGGGGCCGAGCGCCGCGGATAGGACAGGCTAGGGGGATGAGCGCCGCAGCTAGAACTAGCCTGCTATCTGTCTCATACTTCATTGCGGCATTCCCGAGCTACCAACATTTTTTATGATGGGGGGGGGGTCAAAAATCTTTATAAGGATATAGTATTTACTAAATTGATAGAAATGCGACGGGTAGGGGTTTAAAATCTAGAAATTTGCCGGAAATCCAGCGTTGCCCGGAAACTTTCTTCATAAGTCAACTCTTATAATTCAGAAATTTTAAATTTATCTTGGAATACTTCCTTGGTTGTACAGAGTGTCCCCAATTAAAAATTGAGTCAAATCGGTCAAGGGGGATAGTGAGTTATGATCGGCGGTAGAAACCAACAAACTCACTAAGATTACTTTTTTGTAATGAAGTAGATTTGGGAACCCAGCATTGTCTAGAAAACTAAACTTTATTTGTTAACGCCAACAAACTCAGTTGAAATGTTTTAACTAAGCAAAAAATATTATCATGGTTCTGCCAAGTTCTCCATTCAAAATTTAAAGCAAAATGTCAATTGGTTCGTAAGTTATGATCGAACATATTAAAAAACAGAGCTTTCAACTATTTAGAATTATGTCGTTAACATCTTTATTTTTATGTTTAAAAATAAAGAAGTTTTAAAGTTATAACTTTCTGTCGGAAAAAGGGAAAGTAAAATAAGTTAATAACCACGGAAAAGAGGAAAGGTTTCTGTTTGTTATGCCCCCCCTGAAACCAGTGCTTACGATTCATTTAATTTTGATGCGGATCCGGATCCTGGATCCGCACTGGAAAAAAATATCCATGTCATTTCTTTAAAATTTTCTGATTTTTTAAACAAAAAATAATTTTTTTTCCTCGCTTATTTTTATCTTAAAAATTGATGAACCATTCAGAAATGAGGACATTTTTATAATCTCTATAATTCAGGAAGCCAAAAGCTTGCGGATTCTAAGCACTGCTTGAACCATCCTTGTTTATCTAAATTAATTTTAGGCGGGCCTGACCCATTGGATTACATCACAGTATACAGTAATCAAGGAAATTGTACGCACTGGCACTATGTTAGTTCTGGTCTCTCAGATCTTCATGGCGATGGAAGGGGTGTAATTAAAAAAATTAGAAAAAAAATAGATCTGAAGAATATTTACTCCCCTTTTTAATGTAATAATTATAGTTAAAAATCAATGCTACTTTTCCAGAAATTTTATTTATTTCACACCCAACAAGACACATTTGATAGATTTTCTTGATTTTATCGGAGAGTTTTCAAAAATCATTTTTTTTTGTGCATATAAGATAAACATAACAAAGTAAAGGTAATTTTAAAAATCTGTTTCAAAAATTTGAAATAAGCCATTTTACTTTGGCTTAGAAAATGTTGTCTTTGATTCAGGCATTATTTCATTTTAACCTGATTTAAGTAAAAGCAAAACATTAGTTGAACCGCATAGAACCACTTCTCATGTGGCAAGCTGAAGAGTCAAAATTTAGTAGGGGCGGTTATGTCTCGCTATTTATTAAATTTCGTCCCTTAAACTATACAATTAATGCTTAATTAAAACAAACTTAGATATAAAAGGTTGAATATATTTTTTTACTGAAAATTTACACCCGCTGATTGTCCAGAGTGCATCCTCCTGCAGCCGGCCCTAATTCTCCAAGTGGATATGGATTCGAACTTACGTTTAGACTCAGACGGTAAATTCTAATGTTTAGTAATCTAATTTTTTTTAAATCAACATTGCAGCTATGAAATATGCATCAGATTTGGTATTTCAAATTAAATTTTTAATGATTATATCAAACTTAAGAAGTGACTGGATGTGATTTATAGGGTAAACCCACCCTTTTCCTAGTAAAACTTATGGGGTTATCTGGTTTTTTCTTTCTTAAAATTGGTATTATTTAATTGCGAATAAAATTGACTTTGGAAGAAAAAAAGTAAATTTTCGGAAATCAGAATTCTACATTTTGTAGATTGAAGTAATGATCCCTAATTTACGCTGGTAACGATTTAAAGGGTGCCATTGTAAATCTGACAGGACACTATATTGAGGACCACTTGAAATAACTTTTTCAGTACCTTTAACACTACATTCTGCTAAATAATGATACTTTTAGACGAGATGAATTGGTACCACCGGACTGGCCTTTCAAAGTTCTTCAGAAAATTGCCAAATATGTGTTTGAAACGGAAAATAAGGCACATCTAACATCATCTTGTAAAACACCAACATCAACGGATTTGTTTCGAACATTCACTTGGAGCTTCATAATACACAATGAACAAAAAATATTTTGAAGGTTGATTCAAACAAACAACAAATGTTATTGAATTTGATAGACTTAAGATATTTTAAAAGGATGTATTCTTTTTCAGATATTATTAAAAGCTATGCGATATAATTCTTTGATACTTACTTACGACACTATCTTGATATTTTAAACAAATAAATATTTCATAAACCATTAAAACATTTATTTTACGGGGCTAATTTGGGAAAATAATGATTTTTAGGAAAAAATCAATGTATTTTTGCTGAAAAGTATCAAAGTATCAAGTTTAAAAATTATTTTTTTTACCCGTCAATTTATTAAAAATCTGAAAAATATACATCCCGCTATTATGATGGATGTTGTGTGAAGTTAGTGTCTGGTGATCATATAACCTGGAGTGAACCTCTCGGTACAAGTCAATCCATACTAAAGCATCTTATAGTGGCAGAGGTGGACAATTTAGATCATTCATTTCACCCTCCTCCCCCTGTCCTTGAGTCCCCATGTTGAAATATTGCACGATTTGAACGTTGTTATATAAGAGAAGAAAATTTATCAGAAAACAGTGAAATAATGTTTTTTTTATTTATTCTTTCTCTTTGTTAAATTTTACAATGGTATTCATTTATGTATTATTTGGGAACCTTTGTGTTGGAATTGGATACTCATTAAACCGAATGGTTGATCTCGATATCCACTGTAGACACTTCCAGGGTTAATTACCATGCGGGAATACTAATAAAGATTTGATAAATCAAGCATTGATTTTGATATCCACAAGAGTTCCCGTGCCAAATAATGTTTATAAGTATATAAGTTTTAAAAATATAAACTTTAATATCCTAAATTTCTGAAGAAAGGAAGAATAAAGACATCAATCATTTCACAGCTCTGTTATTTGTTTATCAAATATTTACAAAATCGGGAAGAAAATTAAGAATGGTTTAAAATATTACCATCCTAACCAGCCCCTACGGTCTACACCTCCTATCCAGCCCCTAACCCTACTGTCCAGCCCCTACCTCTCCTATCCAGCCCCTACACCTCCTATCCAGCCCCTACACCTCCTATCCAGCCCCTAACCCTACTGTCCAGCCCCTACCCCTCCTATCCAGCCCCTTAACCTCCTATCCAGCCCCTACTCCTTCTTATCCAGCCCCTAGACCTATAATGCAGAATAATTATTTATAAATGAAGTAAGAAATATTTGTTAAGGATCCCCAGCTTGAAGTAATAAATACAGCGCTGGGTCAACTTAGATTTCTTCAGATTTTTTGTGTCACAGAAGATGAACTCAAAGCTGTACAAAGGTATAAACAAACAGAGCTCATGGTCATGGTCTTGGTCATTTGAATAATGGTCACCCATGATGGTTATTGGTTTTGACGGTCATGGTATTTGGGAGAACTCTAAACAATGCCTGTTGACAGTTGTCCAAATTTATAGAAACAAAAATTGTCTAAAATACCGTCGTCTATTTCTGATATTCTTATAACGATTTTGAATTTATTGTTCGAGACAAATGTATTTTTTTCATTTTGAAATATTCTTAAGACATATTTTCTTTTCACTCATCTTAGTAAATTTGAATGAGTTTGCAAGTTACTAAGAACTGCAGGCCTTGTTAATATTGATTTGCATTTTTTTTATCTGAAAATTGACCCATATTTAAAAAATGTCTTTCTTTAACAAAAACTTACCCCAGTCCGAGTCTTGGAAGAAATCATCATCTTTGGAGTACTATTGGAGACCATCTTTCATTGGAGACTCCCACATTCTCGTCTTCAACGAAAATTTGGGGGTTTCTAACGAAAATCTGGGGGTCTTTAATGAAAATCTGGGGGTCTTTAATGAAAATCTGGGGGTCTCCAATGAGAATATGAGGGTCTACAATGAGAATAATGGGGGTTTCCAATGAGAATATTGGGTCTCCTATAAGAATATGGGGGTCTCCAATGAGAATAAAGTGGTCTCCAGCGAGACGTCCATTGGAGTCTAATTTAAGGTGGTCTCTAATCGTAATCCAATGATGATGATTTCTTCTCAGACTCCCTCAGCCCCTGTAATTAATTCATTTAATATCTGTTAATATGTTTAGATGGAACGGACCCGGTGTTATTAGCTTACTTAGAAATTCTCCGGTAGGGGGTAGTCTTTTAGTCACAGATATCCAGAGGTATATCATACCATACATATTCTCCGGTAGGGGGTAGTCTTTTAGTCAAAAATATCCAAAGGTGAATGAAATTAAAATGAAACTAAAATGAAATTAAAAAGAAATAATGGAGAAATTCAGAGAAATAAACACTTCGATTCAGAAAATCAACGTAATCTTCAATGCTATCTTTGCATGGAGGGTCACTTAAAAGCAGTGCTTAGGATCCATTTAATTTTGATGCGGATCCTGGATCCGCTTTTCAAAAAAAATGGATCCGGATCCGGATCCGGATCCAGGTCATTGATCAAAAAAAAAATTTATTTTAGTTCAAATATCTTTTCATACCTAAAAAAATGTTAAACATTTTAACATTTTTTTATACTATTTTTCTACTAGTTTGCACAAAATGATAATGATTTTTTTACTTTATTGGACGAAAAAAAACAGGTCTAATTCATATTAGCTTTTAGTAGAAGGAGGGCGTTTGGAATATCTGCCTTCATGCAACTCCTTAGATCTGATTTGAATATCTTCAGGGCAGAGAACAGTCTCTTTATACTGGGAACACAAGATGTTCCTTAGCATCTGTATCTTTTTAGCATATGTGCGCCCCCTCCCTTTTCCCCCTCACTCTTACACATCCTTACACCTTAATTTGTGAAGACTGAATTTGCTTAGTTGCAATGGGGAAAAGGGAGACTTCTCCCCCCCCTCTCTAGTTATTAAAGGGGGGGGGGGGTGCACGGTGGAGGTTAAGATTTGAGCAAGATAGAAACCTGAGACCCTGAGAATATTTTTAAAATCTGTTAAACAATTCAAAATAAGACATTTTTAAGGAAAAATAACGCTGTTTTGCACATTTTGAAAAATAAAATTGTGCTTGGATCCGGATCCGTGGATCTGCATTTTTTTGCGGATCCGTATCCTAAGCACTGCTTAAAAGTACACTTTAAGTCCTTTAAATAATAGTCACCAATGCATACTCGCAATATTAATTTTAATATTTTAGATCGTTATCACTGTTTGCGTATTCTCCTGAGACTAAATCGATGGTGGATGCAGGCATAGCAGCTGAAGGTTAGAATTGGGAATATATTTTACAGTAACACCCCTGTCCTGGGGCACCTACTTAATGAATTTTCCCGCAAGCATGCCAGGAACTTTTTTCGGTTCTTTTATCGCTGAAAGCCGGATGGGAAAAACCTCGGAAGAGAAGGAATATCATCTTCGTACTCATTTTCTCATCTCAAGTAACAATATAATTTTGTATACAAAAAAAACGGTTTTTATTAAACATTTTATGATAAAAACTTTACATTATTTGGAAGGGACTGCTTTATAATTATTTAGTGCCCTCTATTTTTAGAGGGTCATGAACGATGCATTAATTTACCCTTACAAGTTTTATCTCATCAATAATGTAGAAGTTGTCCAGTTTTCTATTTTATCTTTTACAATATCCATTGTTTCTGTAGTAAGAAATCAACAAGTCATTTTATAGATAACTCTCGTTTGAAGATAAATAACGTAAATGAGAAATCATGGAACTATCATTCACTCTGGATCAAACAAAGCTTTAAAGGGAGTGACCGGCAATTTATTGTAGTTGAACAGATAATGTAGTATTGTGGAGAAATTTGTTAAGGAATCATTTGAGATTCAGAAGACGTTTTTACGGTGCATATTTGGTCAGGAAGAGCTCAAATTCAATCTTTAAAATCCTTTCAGATTGTTCATATTTGAGGGAAAGTTTAGAGAATCTGTCTTTAAAAAGTTAATCAATAACGACGACTAAAAATGTAGTAAAAATTCTACAATAAACTTATTAGTTGTATTGGAACAGATTGTGAAAATAAAAATTAACTATTATCATCGAAATAAGTAATCTTATTCAGTTATTGGTTTCTGTATTGTCTCGTTAAGTTTACAAACATTTTCTGTAGATTTCCGGGAATTTTTATTGAAAAGACGACATTTGAAAAATTTATAGAAATCTGCGAACAAATTAATTAAGAATAAGAAATTCAATATAATGTCATTATAATCATTTGTCTTGATCTTGTTTTCTATTTATCACTGTTTTAATCAGATGGATTGAACTCTAGGCTTTCTGTTTATGTAGAGCATCAATATTCGATATTGGGTTTTAATTCGTTCTCAAAAACTTGTATATATCTTCTTTATAATAAAACAAGACATGTATTCATATATATGTTGCCTCTAGCCGGCCAAACGGCTGGACCAAATGGACTGAATTTTTTTGTGGACACTCGTGGGTGGCCGGGGGGTGTGGAAATTAATTTTTTTAAAATTAGCTGAAACTTTTTGAGTGGGGACATAGGCTAAACAATCGATTGTTTTAAAATCAATTCTTTTTTATCAATTTAAAAAAAAAAAATTTAAAATCAATTATTTTAATCAATTTTTTTAATTCGAAATTGTTTTTTATTTACGAAATTTTCTTTAAATTTCACGGGCAACGCTCGGCCTCCAGCTAGTGTATTATACAATTTGATTGTTCCTAGGATCCAACTTGTGTGGTATGGCTGCGTGTATTTCCTGGACTGAAACTGATGTTACAGCCTCTAGGTTTAGAATCTATATATATATATATAAACTTGTAATCTCTGTTTGTTTGTTTGTTTGTTTGTTTGTTTGTTTGTATGTTTGTTTGTATGTCAGATCACAGCTCATAAACCCTTGATCGATTTGCCTCAAATTTTGATTGGGAAACACGGAATGTTCTTCGCTTGGTTTTTAGAGTCTAATTTAAGTGTATCAACTTTAATTGCAAAAATGTTCCCAGTAAATCGACTACTTGTGGGTTAACTGCAGGGGAAACTATAAATAACCAGAGCTAGGAACTTTTAAATAGTGGCTATCGGGATTAATTCTTGATCCACTCTTTTTCTTAATCTCCAGATTAAAGAATGCTTGTTCTCCTCTTGTTATTAAACTCCAGATTATTAACTAATCAGGAATAATAAGGAACTATTCTAAAGTTTTAAGCTCTGGGCAACGCAGGGTTCCAAATATATATGATAAGAAAGGGGCCAGGGGCGTATATAGGCATTTTTTCAATGGGGGGGGGGGGTGAAAATAGAAAATGGATTTGTAGACAACATTTTTTTCTAAATAAATTTTTGAATTTTCAAAAAGTTTAAAGTCAAGTGTTTCAAAAGTTTTTTAAGTGTTTTATTAAAAGTATTTTAAAAGTTGTTTTATATGTGTTTCAAAAATTGTATGATAGTTTTATTCTACCAGCGAACAATTATGTTAATTATTAAACAAAAACAATAAAGATTTTTTCGTTTCCCTTCTTAGATTCTAACATTTTATCAATATTAAAATTCACACCTTTAAAACATGAGTTGCCTCAAAAAATTTTATATAATGACTGAATTGATTCATTGATATATTGGTTGGTTGGTTGGTTGGTTGGTTGGTTGGTTGGTTGGTTGGTTGGTTGGTTGGTTGGTTGGTTGGTTAGTTGGTTGATATGTAGAGAACAAGATTTTACAGGAGATTCCACATTTATTTGATTGATTGATTTAATGGATGGTTGATCAATAAATGAATGGATAGATTGATTATATGGATTGATTGATTGATTGATTGATTGATTGATTGATTAATTAATTAATTATTAATCGATTTGTAGAGAACGCGAGTTGACCGGAGATTCTGCATTGTCAGATTGGGCTTCTCTAGCTCAACAGGTGGATATTTTAAAGGGGTCTATATTTTCAAAAAGATAATTTTCCCCTTTTGGGAATTTTTTTTGTTCCTCCAGAAAGGTTTTTTCGCTGAATTGGGTTAATTTTTTGGGGGAAAGTGTTAAAAAGAATAAAGATATTGCCTGTTAATGTCTCAATTTATATTTTTTACCCCAAATCATCAAAATTATATTTAAAGATAATTCTAAAAAATATACACCCCTGATATTTTATGAAAAAGGCAAATATTTAGAAATATATATATTCTTTGTTTTTATCTTAATCAGGATCTTTTTTTTTCTCCTCACCCTTTTCATTCAGTATGGAACAGAAATTTGAAATAGTGAATATACGGACTTTTAAAATAATAATTCCTTAAAAATTTTCTCTAACTGTAACACTTTTCTGTACTGTTCTGTAGTTTAATACTACAATATCATTTATTTTAGTGTGACCGATTAATATACAGTGGTCTTAATTCCAGGTTAGAAAAATTACCTAAAATTTATATTTTGAAGAAAACTGAAGTTAAAGAGAATTGTGATTTTTTGGAATTAATGATGACGACAAAAATATCTATGTCGAGAATATCCTTTTCAGTATCCCTATTTAGTTATATATTTAGATTTTTTCCCAGTATCCCACAATGTTAAGTCTTGTTCTCATCAAAACTCGGAATGCGCCAATTCCAATTGTGAAAATCCGCCTAATAGAATATTAAACCGGTTTTTGAACTCAACTCTGTGGAAAATAAGATGCAGCTTGAATCCGAAAGCTCAAGTCGTAAATAAGGCCCAAGGACAGCTTAAACCCGAGCCGTATTTTCCCAAAATTTTTAAATCGCGGGCTCAGTATCCCTATTTAGTTATATATTTAGATTTTTTTAGAAATTACAGAACAAACTTTTTCATCTTAATTGTAAAAAAAAACTTCTATATACTATTTATAATGTAATATAATTGCCAAGTAATAAGATTTAATAAATAATTTAGAATGACTTTACATTTATAGATCAAGGATAATACTAGATTTTTTAAAGCCAAAAATAATATTTTTTCCATCATTGTTTCTCTAAAAAAAGTGATTAAATGATGTATGCTGCACATCTGCAGGGACAATTAAGGACAATGTTAGAATTTTACACTTTTGAAAAACGACTCCTTCTTCCTCAGTGTTACCCAGCTACAGTATTCAAGTCATAGAATAATAAAAATACAGATAAAACACTAGATGAAGTCTTTTCAAGATTTAGAGGTTTTTCGTTCACGATAACCCAGAGGCAGAAGCCTAAAGGAGTTATGCGTATGCTCTCTCTCTGTCTTTTAATTCAACGCACCTTGCGCGTATTTTCTTTGGGCCTCTGACTCAGGGTTATTGTAAACGAAAAATCCCTAAAACTTAAAAAGGCGACATTTAGTGTTCAATCTGTATTGTTAATTAATCTATGATTAAATTGTACCGTTTTAAATTGAGGGTTATTTGAATTTACGTCAGCTGTTCCTTAAATATTTTTGTTATTATTTTTAGACGTGTATCTTATCCAAGAGGAGTAGCCTTAGCTTGTAGTCTAGGTACTTATTTTTTAAATCAATATTATGTTCTGGGTTGGCTTTTATAGAGAGAAATTACATCCAGGAAAAGCTGGGCTTCGAAACTATTGAATTATGTTTTATGTTTTCAACCAATATAATAATGTGTTCTAGTTTTTAGCCAATATAAAGCTGGAATAATGAATATGTTTGTTTTCAATTGATATTTGATAAAGATTTGAATCATGTTCATATTTCAACCAATAGGAAGTTAGTATTTTTTTAACCAATTGGAAGCTTGTAGTGTGATTTAATTTTGAATCAATAAAATCAATTATTATTTTAATTTCAGAAACTGCCCGGTATCTTCCACTTTGCATTCAGGGTCGCCTTAAACATGGATTTCACTTTACTCTTAAATCCATCTTAAAAGGTAAAAAAATGTATCCCGAGTCTGAATTGAGCACCGGCTTAAATCTTAAAACATTGAATACAATTTTAAGAGGAACCAACCATATTTAAGCCGCGGCTAAATTTTTTTTTAATTCGGCCTCAGGCCTCTATTCATAACCCTTATGTATGAGATATTTTATATAAATCGAACGTTTCAAAAACCTTTGATATATTGGAAAGTGAGGAAAAAGGTTTCCATGTTACCATTGTTAATCGTTTAAAGTAGTTTTCACTTTAAATTACACTTACAGTCCCTTTAAATTACACTTACAGTACCTTTAAATTACACTTACAGTCCCTTTAAATTACACTTAAAGTCCCTTTAAATTACACTGACAGTCCCTTTAAATTACACTTACAGTCCCTTTAAATTACATTTAAAGTCCCATTAAATTACACTTACTGTCCCTTTAAATTACACTTACAGTCCCATTAAATTACACGTACAGTACCTTTAAATTACACTTACTGTTCCTTTAAATTACACTTACAGTCCCATTAAATTACACTTACAATCCCTTTAAATTACACTGACGTCCCTTTAAATAAAACCATCCCTAACCATTTTGGAGGATTGGAACGCCTTTTTTTTGCAGCAACTTTCATTACAAACAGGAAGGTAAAAGGTTTTGAAGTAAAATATTCACCCTTGACTCCCTGACATTGTTTTTAATTTTTAGAGACTGCCGTTACATTTGTGACGGGTCGGGTTGCAGGAACCCTGGTAGGTCCCGGCAAACATTTTGCAGCTCAGGGGGATTGGTTGCAGGTTCTTATACCAGAACAATTCCTGGATCAGTTTCAGGTAGAGCTTTCAGATACAACCCCCCCCCCCCATTTCGCTCCAGATATCCCTTAAGATAAACATGCTCAGTGCCCACGGGTGTCCCTGAAACCTTACAACCCACCCCCTCTTAGTTAACCCTGAAACTCGACGTCTAAGCAAATAGGATAATATTATCCTATTTTTCGATTAAACATTGATAATTTTTAAATGTGGTTTTTTCTGAAAGTAGTTGCAGATTTATGCATCATAATTTAACACTTTTCTGAATAAGATTAAAGGGTCCCGTGGAGAATTGGATGTGTCGATATATATTGAGAATAAGATATATTCTGATATATCGTGGACAGCTATTTATGGTGACTGGTTGATTGTTTTATTAAGGGTTTTTATTGATTTCTTGATTTATTAATTTGTTAATCAATTGATTGATTGATTGATTAATTGATTACATTCAGGAAAGAATTACTGTCGTGGACTCGGAATTACAGTTGCCTCACACATTCCAGTTTCCGGAAATAAAACTTTCTATTTCCGTTTTATCCGACACAGCCCAGGTCGGAGTTGTATGATAAGTCAGACAAGAAGAAAATTATTCGATGCGTATCTTCGGATTTACGAAGTACGCACATCCGCTATACTACACTTCCAACCTACTAGCTCGTGGTTTTTCAGCTGTAAGTTGAACATGTTGCCGCAGCGCTCGGCCCAGAGATTGTCTTTATCCTAACCTAACCTTTCAAATAATACAAAATGTAACCGTTTTCCTAGTTCCGATATTGCAGTAGGTCAGAAGTTCAGCAGAGGGGATGTTGCGCAAAGACATTACCTAGCTAACATTCACTGCAGAACTGAACAAGACGAAGGAAACAATGAAACGACAATTTTTTCTCTTTATTACATCCAATGGTTCAACATAATTTTTAACCCTTGGATTCGGATCCAAGAGGCAGACTTTAATATCTCAATATATAAAAAATTTTACACAGTTTTGGATTTTAAGAATCTCTCAAAATTAGTAAATTGTTTTGAAAACGCAATTTTGGTGAAAACGGATGATGAGAATATTTTTACATTTATATAGTTTTATACTTCACAATTTTATATTTTAACAACCATATACAGAACTGTAACTACTCATTCAACGATTTGCAATCTCTTGTTGGCGGATTTGTTTCTCGACTATAAAGACGATATTTGACTCTCAGCCAATATGTAATATAATAATTCATTCCAAACTGTCGAATCTCAAAGGTAATTAATTATAAATTTTACTAAACAGAGTATCATTCTAAGAGAAAAATGGATTTTTAGTGACTACTTAATAATTATATAAAATCTAAAAAATTTAAAAAAGTACTTATTACTGATGGTAGATTCACTAGATAATACTAGTGTAAAATCGTCATTTAATTTCAATGTTCATTTTTACTACAGCATTAAAACATTTTAAAGATTGTCGTTTGTAGGATTTCAATAAGTCTTTTTTCTCGTTTTAAATAAATTTAGTGTTTCTCAATGTTAATGTAATCCAAGATTTATAATATTTGTGACTAAATGTAATTATGATGTGTAAAAAAGTGCCTAATTAAAGTAAACTTTAAATAAATTGCAGCAATTATTTATGGTTGATTCACGAGATAATACTAGTGTAAAATCGTAAACAATTTCAGTATTCATTTTTACTACAGCAATGGAATATTTTAAAGATGGTCGTTTGTAGGATTTCAATAAGTCTTTTTTTTCTTGTTATAAATAAATCTAAATGTTAATGTAATCCAAGATTTATAATATTTGTGACTAAATGTAACTATGATGTGTGATAACGTGCCTTTTTTTTAAAAAATATTTTCTTAAACATTTTACCGTTCTTGTTTGTATAAATTTATAATTTGATTGACTTTTAGGGCGAATTGTGCCACTATTTCTAATAATAAGGTTAGCTGTATTTAAATTGTACATAGGAAAAATAATTTTTGAAGATTGTTGAAATGTGAATTTCTAAAAATCTAATCTCCATTGAAGGCAAAATGTTTTAATTCTGAATATTTGTTTTATAATATTAGAAATAGCTTGATTGAATAAACGAATTATTTTATTTTCACTTTTTCCCTCATTTACTGTTGGAAGATGACAAATTTCCTAATGGAAACTTTTTTGACTAAACGGCAGCATTGGACCTAAAATTGGATCCCATTCCTGTGCAAATAGTCGAAGAGTATCTCCCCCCTTTTCTTTCATCATGTTATGACTTTTTTTATCGCCGATTAAGAAAAAATAGATCATTAAAGGAGTAGACAACATTTTTAGCCACAACAATTAACCGGAGAAATGTTTTTAGTTTCTCTAATATTTCATTTATAATACTTAATACCATAGAAATCGACCTCATGAATTACTAAATGTATGTTAACGCAACTTCTACAAATTTATTTATTTTTGAAAATTTGAACCATTTTATAAATATATTATTACGCAATCATTAAGTTTGCCCTTTAATGCGGCTGCGTTCACAAAAAAATGTGCATCAAAGAGGACGTTCTTTATAATCCATTTGTCCTTATAATATATTGAACTTCAGGTGTGTAACGTTTAATCAAATCCAAATACCGTTGTAGGGATTTTGGGCCACAATGAAGCCTTGTTCCACTGCACAAAAATTTAAGGTAGGAGGCTTTAGAACCTTGAGTTTTGGTTGATTTCAAGAAATAAATCTACGGTCATCGTAAGTTTAAAGTTATGTAGGACAGAAGTTGTGAGGTCAAAGCAATATCACAGTGTCATATCATTTAGACTGACGTTCGTAAGAACTAACGTTCTTAAATAACGATGTCAATGCGTTAAACATAAAAATTTTAAAATTAGTTCATTCGATAATTAATTTCTATATTGTTACTATGTGCTAAAAACCGGTTTGAGACTCTAGTGCAATTGTCCAATCGTCGTTCAGTCCCATAGATAATCTTGTTTTGTTGACTTTTAACAAAAATAATTTAGTTCCAGCTTCAGTTAAAAATGTGAAATTATCATGTAAATATCATGGGACCCTGTCACGTTGCATAACAGAAAAAATAATTAGAAGATCTTTATTAATACATATACAATTGTTGACAAATTATTTTATCTCTGAAAATGTAAATATACTAACAGTGCACCCCACCTACATTTCTGGAAAATATTAGATTGTTTTCATACAGGGTTAACCACTAAGGATGAGACTCTTCAAGGTGAAATTTAGTATTCTGTCTTTTAGTTATATGGTCTCTAACTAGTCTTTAATTATTATAATCAGTGCTGAAGATCTATTAAATTTTGATGCGGATCCTGATCCTGATCCTGATCCGGATCCAGGTAATTTATTGAAGATTTACTGATTTTTTAACATAAAAGAATTTTCAAATTTTGTTTTATTTTTTTTTGCTTATTTTTATCCTAAAACTTGATGAACCATTCAGAAATGAGGAAATTTTTATAATCTCTTTTTTAAAAGTTAAGATTTTGATTTTAGCAGTAACAAAAGTTTTCTTTACAATTTTTGGTTGATATTCCTCGGATCCGGATCCGTGGATCCGCATATTTTTGCGGATCCGGATCTAGAGCCAAAATCTTGCGGATCCGGATCCTAAGCACTGAATTTATAATAAATGACTTGGATAAGACAGAAACATGTATAAAGTTAAAGAAAAAACCAGAATGTCGGAAAAAAGACTGAATAAGTTACGTACAGTCGTCTATTAAGTCTTGTACTATGTGGGTAACCCTGTAAATTACTTAATAAACCTACTTTAACAAGTATGAATCTAGAAACAATAAACATGAAATACCATTAGTCCTGGTTTTTACAAAATGTCGGTTTTACAAAAGGTATAAAAGTCCGAAGACGATCTTCAATTACAGTGTTAAGTAAGACAATAATTACATAACAATTGCAAACTATTGAAAATAAATAATTCATTAAAAAAATATATAAAAACTGGTTACAAACACCGGCTGAGTTTGTTGTAAGGAATATTTCTGAGTGTTAAAGTTCATTATCAAAGACTTAAAACAAAAGTTTTATTTTGATGGAATATAATCAAATATAAATATTTGCGTTAGTGAACTTGAAAACTTTATCAAATCATAACAAAATGCGCAATTAAATTTTAATTTAAAAAAATTTCATATAAAAATATAAAGACATCACAGAAATAGGAATAGACTAAAAATCAAATATGCAGGAGCCAATTTAAAAACTTATTCTTACTAATTTTTAAAAATAAAACCAATACCTAAGTTAAAAATTTGAGTTTTTTTATTTGATCAAAAATAAGTAAAAAATAAAAACAAAAATTTAAGATCATAAAAATACTTAAAGGCAATAATTCATTATTCAATTTTTTGGAAAAGTTGGGAAATACTTATATATGTGTTATCTTAAACCTAATGGAATGTGTATTCACAAGAAGCGTGGACAATTTTTGACACTGTGCTAAAAACAATTGTGCAAAAATACAAGTTATGAAAGAGATTGGAAGCGTAGTTAAAAGTGATACTCCATGCAAAGATGAAAATGCCTGATAAGAAAAGTTTATCTGACAAAAAATGTGGAAAATACCGTCGGTTTCCTAACTCAAAAAGTGTTCATTCCTGGAGATTTCTCCATTTATTCTTTTGAGAAAGAAATGCGCAAGTCACTTTCTCAGAGAAACTGCATATGAAAACAAACTGTTAAGAGAACCAAAAACAAGGATATCTAAATCATACTTTATCTGGAAAATCGGGCATTTCCACCTTTGCAGGGTAGGTCACTTGATATTACGCTTACAGTTACGTTAAGTATATCAAGGTATCTTCTAACTGAGTAAATAATTGGAAGAAATGAGTTACTAGGACAATCCAGGAACATGTTTTATACAATGAAAGCGATTATTCAATACAAAAAAGACTTTTTTATTGAAGTTTTGATTGTTAACAAGCTTTTTACGAATTTCAAGTTTATAAGTAATCAAAAGAATCTTTTTTTAATTGACAGCTTCTCTTGTCTTCTATGTTTATGTGTATCCATGCTGTTTAACAGCTTGATGTGTATCAAAACTAAAGTCAAAAGTCGTCTTCATTGTATTGATATAATCGCCTACTACTGTAGAAAAACTTTTGAATTATAAACAATAAAACTAGTCTTTAGTTTAACCCTGAATTAACTAAACCAAAACAAACAACTTTTCTCGCCAAGAAACTTGTTTGAATTGAATGATCAATTGATTGATTGATTGTTTATGGAATGTTGGCTAGCTCTTTCTCAGTGTAGTAATCCTAAAATATACAAAATGGTTACTTGAAATTTGGAAGCTCTAAACATTAATACCTGGGAAACAGTGTAGACTCTCATAAATACCTGGAAAACCGTATAGACTCTACACATAAATACCTGGGAAACGATATAGACTACACATAAATACCTGGGAAACGATATAGACTCTACACATATACATCTGGGGAACAGTGTATACTCTACGCATAAACACCTGGGAAACAGTGTATACTCTACGCATAAATACCTGGGGAACAGTGTATACTCTACGCATAAACACCTGGGGAACAGTGTATACTCTACACATAACTACCTGGGGAACAGTGTATACTCTACGCATACACACCTGGGGAACAGTGTATACTCTACGCATAAACACCTGGGAAACAGTATAGACTCTACGCATAAACACATGGGAAACAGTGTAGACTCTACGCATAAATACCTGGGAAACAGTATTGACTCTACGCATAAACACATGGGAAACAGTGAAGACTCTACGCATAAAAACATGGGAAACAGTAAAGACATTTACGCATAAATACCTGGGGAACATTGTGGACTCTACGCATAAATACAATGGAAACAGTATAGGCATTTACGCATAAATACCTGGGAAACAGTATAGACATTTACGCATAAATACCTGGGAAACAATATGGACTCTACGCAGAAACACCTGGGGAACAGTATAGACTCTACGCATAAATACTTACGAAATAGTGTAGACGATACCCATAATTAGCTGTGTAACAGTGTAGACTCTACGCATAAATACCTGGGAAACAGTGTAGACTCTACGCATAAATACTTAGGAAACAGTGTAGACTCTACGCATAAATACTTAAGAAATAGTGTAGACAATACGCATAAATACCTGAGAAACAGTGTAGACTCTTCGCATACTCTCGACTGCGCGCGCAAAGTCCTGTTCCACCTTTTCCCGCGCACTAGAATCCAATGCAGCTCCAGGAGATACTGAGAATAAAAATTAAAAAATTAGCGCCAAGGAAATAAGTTGTCGACTCCCACCAGGGCTGGCTGACATTTTTTTTAATCAATTTAATCAATTAAAATATTCGGTATTAAGGTTTTGATCCAAATCCATCAAAAATACTGATCCTAGGGATTCCAAACTAGAAAAATGGATAAACATTAAATCAACGCCCGACTAAAATCGTTATTTCAAGGGTCTCTCCATGGAAAGATAACAATGCCCGAACCTTTAAAAAATTTATTCAATGTTGAAGATATAGTCATTTTTTTGGGGGGTTTAAAAGCCTTTATTACGATAATTTCATGTTTTTTTTTTTAATAGAAATGCACTCCGCGCTAGTCACTTTTGTAAAAAAAAAATTGAAAATTTTCAGTTTTTGAAATTATGAACTTCATATTACCTTTCTCTACTAGTCCTGCTTTAGTAGGAAGGAATCCGATAGCAAACTTTACAATTAGGATTATATTAATAGAGAATATATAAATATTATCCGATAGCAAACTTTACAATTAGGATTATATTAATAGAGAATATATAAATATTATCCGATAGCAAACTTTACAATTAGGATTATATTAATAGAGAATATATAAATATTATCCGATAGCAAACTTCACAATTAGGATTATATTAATAGAGAATATATAAATATTATCCGATAGCAAACTTTACAATTAGGATTATATTAATAGAGAATATATAAATAAGTTAGTTTCGAACTTAACAGTGATAACACTAAAAGAAGTATCAGCCTGAGGTTGCAAACTTTATACTAGATCAAATCTGTTTCGTAAACCTCTTCTGACAATTGCATTGGGTAAATGGAAGCAGGCAAGTTGTTCAAATACATTTTTAATTTTGCAAATAAACTTTTGTTTATTTTTTAAGGGTGTCAAATGACATTCTTTCAGACCAAAGGTTGTAAAATAAGGTAGGTAACTCTCGATGCGCTCCAATGTACGGAAAATGTCGTCTCCTAAGATGGATAGATAAAAACCTCATTTGACGTCACTCTCGCCACTTTAATCAGTGACGTATTATTTTGTTTTTATCTATCTATCTTAGGAGACGACATTTTCTGTACAATGGAACGCATTGAGAGTAACGAACCTTATTATACAACCTTGCTCAGACCAAAGTTCCCGTCTCCGGCGGTAACATTTTTTAATTTTATTTTACAATTAATATAATATAGTTTTCCTTTGCTGCTTTCTGAATAGGCCAAATATGATGCTTCATCAGGGTTGCCTCATACACCGCCCTGAACAATGAACATGATAACAATATTAGATGTCAAATGTAAATCAAGATGTTGCATCAGGGTTGCCTCATACACCGCCCTCAACAATGAACAATGAACATGATAACAATATTAGATGTAAAATGTGATTCAAGATGTTGCATCAGGGTTGCCTCATATACCGCCCTCAACAATGAACAATGAACATGATAACAATATTAGATGTCAAATGTAAATCAAGATGTTGCACCAGGGTTGCCTCATATACCGCCCTCAACAATGAACAATGAACATGATAACAATATTAGATGTCAAATGTAAATCAAGATGTTGCATCAACAGTTCTGTATAGTGAAAGACATTAAACAAAAGCATATACATTACAATACGAAAATATCAACCAAGACATAGCTGCAAACATTTGACGATACCATTACAAAAAATATCAACCATAAGACATAGTTGCAAACATTTGACGATGCCAGTACAAAAAATATCAACCATAAGACAAAGCTGCAAACATCTGACGATGTCAATGCAAAAATATCAACCATAAGACATAGTTGCAAACATTTGACGATGCCAGTACAAAAAATATCAACCATAAGACAAAGCTGCAGACATCTGACGATGTCAATGCAAAAATATCAACCATAAGACATAGCTGCAAACATTTGACGATGCCAGTACAAAAAATATCAACCATAAGACATAGCTGCAGACATTTGACGATGCCAGTGCAAAAATATCAACCATAAGACATAGCTGCAAACATTTGACGATGCCAGTACAAAAAATATCAACCATAAGACATAGTTGCAAACATTTACGATGCCAGTACAAAAATATCAAACAAAAGACATAGCTGCAAACATTTGACGATGCCAGAGTACAAAAAATGTCAACCAAAAGACATAACTTTAAACATTATATAATTCATTTAATAATTTTCATAAATTTTTAATATTATATTTATTATTTACTTGGCTCCTGGTCCTATTCTATCCTCATCTTTCAGATCATCCAAATGACCTAAAACAACAAGAAAATTAATTAAAATTTTCAATTTTCAATCCTTAAATACGCTTTAAAGTCTAAATTATAGTTTCCTGTGACTGGCAATGTATGGTAGTTGAACTGAGAATGTAGAATTGCGGAGACATTTTTTAGGAATCATTTGAGACGTATGAGACATTTTTACGGTGCATATTTGTTCAGCAAGAGCGCAAATTCAATCTTTAAAATCCTCATAGATCATTCATTTTTGAGGGATGATTTTGAGAATTGGGTTTGAAAAATTATTCAATAACGACGACAAAAATGTAGTAAAAATTCTACGGTAAGCTAATTAGGAACAGGTTGAGAAAATAAAAATGTTAACTTTTATCATCGAAAATAATCTTATTCCGTTATTGGTTTCTGTACCGTCTCATTGTTCACAAACATTTATTGTAGGTTTCCGGGAATTTTTATTGAAAAGACGACATTTGTAGAAATCTGCGAACAAAATCATAAATAATAAGAAATTCAATATAATGATAAAATAGAAATAATTGATTTTAACATTCATTTATTAAGAAAATTTCAATAGAGAAATATGTTCCTAACCATCTAATTAGTTTTCTGTAGAATCTTTTCTACATTTATTTAATAATTTTTAAAAAATTGAGTCTCCAAACGTAACCACTTAAATGGATGATTTTGAACGTCGACTTTGCGCTCAAACTCAGTAATCTTTAAAACGATTTTTATGTCTGAAATAAATCCAAAAAAAATTCTCCACAATACTATCAGTTAAACTACCATACATTGCCGGTCACTCCCTTTAAGGTACTGTTAAGTCATATCATAACTGTGTGGATTTGCTAATTGCTTCCAAGTTGCTGAAATAAGTTCCAAGTCCTTAATTTGAACATTGGTTTTTTAGCCTGGACCTTTACTATTGATGAAATTTCTAGTGACCCTCCATGCAAAGCCCGATTCACAATGGTATCCTTAAAAGCGTTGTCTGATTAAGTATAAATTAGATATCAATGTTCATAATTTTGAAAACTAATAACCTACAATTGCGGTTTCTTTACAAAAGTCACAAGCGCTTTTTTAGCAAAGAAAAAACATTAAGAAATTATCAGAAATAAACAGTTTTAAACATAGAAAAAATACAATATTTTCTATATTATCGGTCAAATAAAGGTTTCAAGGGTACCGTTGTGAATCGGGCAGTGTCAACTTAGCGTGAAGGGTTATTTAAAATTATCCGATTATCCCTTTAACTGAGTTTAAAACGTCCCTGAAACGGGATTTTTCAATGTCTTTTGACCAATCAAATGTCATACAAAAGTCTGCTTGACCAATAAGAGAGGTTTTCACGCAACAAATAAAAATAATTCTAGACAAACACAAGACAAATATTTTGTGCTTAAAAATTTCCACGCAAAGTTCTTGAGGTCCCAACTGAATCAAGTGGTTTATTTGCTCTTTACAAGGTTGATTAAACCCCCTTCCCCCGACCCACCCCCAACCCTTAATTCAATGAACATTTCTTTCAGTTTTTACAATACCACCATTCTTTAAGGTTGACCATAATTTTTACACTTTTCATTTTTTTTCATTCCACTTCAAAAAAAACCCCCTCCCCTAATATGCTTTTTGTTTATTTTTATCTTTATTTTTAATTTGTAATAATTTTGGTTATTTTCTGTAGAACTGATGAGGATATAAAATATATCAAAATTAATTTCCAAACCCGAGTTTTCTTTCTGTGAGAGTAAAACCTTATTTTGCCAGTTTGGACAATTTACATGGATTAAAATTCCAGCAACATAAGAAGTTAATGAATTTTGTAAAGTTTAAGAAAAAAGTAAATTTTTGTCACAAATTCTTCTTATATATTCCCTATTAGCTTTGCAATCCCGTGTAGTAGATAATTCAAACTACGAATTCTGCTAGATCAAATAATCTAATGTGAAATATCAAAGCTTTACATAATCAGATTGCAAAGATATAGGGATGAGAACATTTAACTCAAGTCCTCGGACTCTGGTTTTCGTTGTGAACTTTGATTATTACCTAATTGACCCCCGACGGCCACCCTTCCTAGCTTTTATCACAATTACTTATGAATACATTTAATTTCTGAAATATACCCACCAAGGAATGAGACAACGAATTCAAGCGCTCTGTGAAGACGGAGAAGCGTTCGGCTTCCACTAGGATCATCTTTCTTCTAGAAATATTAAAATATGATACGTTATTAAGTCTGGGTGTCTGTCTCCAGTGAACGTAACACCGGTTAAACCGATCAGGCCCAAATTTTTTGTGGCAACTTACATTATCCTGCCCCCGGGAAGGTTTATAAACCGACAAAGATATCAAATTTTTCCCGGAAAAACATGTTTACATTTACTGCTTTCGAAATGTCAATTTTCCTTATTTAAAGGTGAAAAATCCGCAAAAATTTGAGAACGAGTAAAAGTGACAAATTTTAGAACAACAGTAAAAAGCTCAAGAAAAGGGTCATGAAGTTTTGCAGAATACAGATTTCCATCTTCAATGGTAAACTTTTTACTTATCCTCCAAGTTTTCAAACTCGAACTTGAGATGACCAAAGATCTTCAAAAGATGATAATTCTTAAACTTACATGCTTCAAAACCATCTGTTTTTCTGATTCATACTCCAGCATTCGTTTCACCGTCTAAACAGAATATAATAAATAATTCATAGAGATTTTCCCTAGTTTTACCTTGTAATTCTCTCTTGTTTTACCTTGTAGTACTCTCTTGTTTTACTCTGTAATTCACCATTGTTTTACCATGTAATTTTCCCTTGTTTTACCTTGTAATTCTCCCTTATTTTACCTTTTAATTCTCCCTTGTTTTATCTTGTAATTCTCCCTTGTTTTACCCTGTAATTCTCACTTGTTTTATCCTGTAATTCTCCCTTGTTTTACCTTGTAATTCTCCTGATTTTCTCCTTTATGATATTTCTCGAGTAAATCAATTTTAACTCCTATATCTGAGGCAGCGAACCCCCAAACTAAAAAAACGTCAGCAACGTGAGATGGTATTAATAGTTAATCCAGTCACAAAGTACTTATCAATATCTTTTGTGATCCACCAACTCCACCAACTCCACCAACTCCACCAACTTCACCAACTCCACCAACTCCACCAACTTCACCAACTCCACCAACTCCACCAACTCCACCAACTCCACCAACTCCACCAACTCTAACAACTCTACCTGTTCCTAGTAGAGTCATAAACTTGTAAACTTCCTTGAAGCCTAGGAGATACTGGTGAATGGTCAACTCTTCAGAAGTGCTGTGACACTAAATACAGATACTGGGGTACTATATATCTCTCCCCCCATCGTGTGCAGTCTAGTGTCATCCAATAGCTTAGCATTTATTTGAGTCAACAGTATCAAATTCAAAAATATAGAAGCCACAAATTTCATCCAGGGCCGTAGATTAACATGGAATAATAATTCAAACAAGTTACAAGATATCAAATCAAAATTCTTATTAAAAGCAGTGACTGGCTGGACATGGTAGTTGAGCTAAGAATGCAATATTGTAGAAACATATTCCAGGATTCATTTGAGACCTATCAGACGTTTATACGGTGCATACTTGTTCAGTAAGAGTGCAAATTCAATCTTTAAAATCCTCATAGACTGTCCAATGTCCATTTTGGAAGGGTGATTTTGAGAATACAATGCCGTATTTTCAGCTCAACTACCATGTATAGCCAGACACTCCCTTTAAGTTGAAATTTATTTTCAAATTATCAATACTCTACATATTTGCTGTGTGTTAAAGAATCAGATTAGAGTTTTTGCTCCTCAATAAATAAAGAACTTTACCTCAGCAAAATATACACCCATCATTTTAAGAGAGAAGTCAGTACACACTACTAATCCCTCAACAGCCTTGGTTATAGTTGCAACATCCTCATCCATATCCACAGCCTAGCAAACATAGTTTAAATAAAAAGCAGTATCTTTATTCTTTGTACATAGTTGCAACATCCTCATCCATATCCACAGCCTACAAAGTTTAAATAAATAGTACGATCTTTATTCTTTGTACATAGTTGCAACATTCATATCCATATCCACAGCCTAGCAAACATAGTTTAAATAAAAGCACAATCTTTATTCTTTGTACATAAATATGATTATTAACACTCCCTTTAAGCCTCCAAGTCCATATTTCAGGAATCATAAATGGAACTGTTATTGTAATTTCAAGTGACTCTTATTAAACGAGGACATTCCCGAACCCTTCTTTACTCAACAATTTAGACGATATCGTCGTTTTTCTTGCTCAAAATTTCCTCCATCATTTCTGAGCCTGGTATTTCTTGATCAGACAGTTTTTAAAGGGATCTTTGTGCCGAGGGTCACTTGCAATTTTGTCAACAGTCTCTTTAAGATGTCCAATTCTACCTCCTCGCAATCCTCAAATGTTGCCTCATCTTCACTACTATGAGCCTCGGTCGCCTTAGCACTCATTTCTTAGTCTGAAAAAATATTAGTTTAAAATATGTTTAAAAAATGCTCTCTTTTTTTATGGAGAGGTAAAAAAATTATAATATCATAAAAAGTATCACAGTCGTTAAGTTATTCACAAATGTTTTTCAAGTATCTTTACAACTTTAGTTTGTTTAAAACAATTACTCAAGAAAAAAGGTCAGGACTAAAATGTTAAAGGTATGAGTTATCAAATAACAGAAGAAGTGTTGAGTTTTAAATGCAAAATATAAATTCTTAACTGATAGTCGGTCCTGGATCGGATAGACTGTCAGATTTGCATCAGAATTACATGTATTTTAGAGTGCTTTGAAGCAGGGTTTAGTTCATTTAGCTTTTTCAAAAATAATCACTAAAAAAGCTTCTTTCACATATAGAAGATCAACAACAAAAACGAGCACCTTAAGCCGAGAAAGGCATCAAAAGTCACATCTTGAAAAACTTAATTTTTTAGGTCACAAGTGACTGGAAACGCATGTTATTATAAAGTTAACAGAACTTTGCCCAGGTCTAGTTGACCGCAAACAGTTCCTCTACCTCCGGTAGAACCCTGAAAGTAAATATATTTTTATTTGGCTTATCAGCCTGTCTGTATCAAAAAAAAAAATACGTCATAACGGCTAAACAGATCAGGCCCTAATTTGAGTGGGATCTTACATGAAAACATATGAACCGTCAAAATCAAATAAATATCGACCGGAAAAAAATGTTGACATGGTAAATAAGGAAATCTTTAGCGATCTTTCATAACTAAAAGAAAAATGAAGACGACGATCATTCCACTGTATTCTGGTTCTCACTGTATTTTGGTTCCCACTGTATTTTGTTTCCCACTGTATTCTGGTTCCCACTGTATTCTGGTTCCCACTGTATTCTGGTTCCCACTGTATTCAGGTTCCCACTGTATTTAGTTTCCCACTGTATTCTGGTTCCCACTGTATTCTGGTTTCCACTGTGTTCTGGTTCCCACTGCATTTTGTTTCCCACTGTATTCTGGTTCCCACTATATTCTGGTTCCCACTGTATTCAGGTTCCCACTGTATTCAGGTTCCCACTGTATCCGGATTCCCACTGTATTCTGGTTCCCATTGTATTCAGGTTCCCACTGTATCCGGGTACCCAATGTGTCCGGGTTCCCACTGTATCCGGGTTCCCACTGTATTCTGGTTCCCAGTGTATTCTGGTTCCCACTGTATTCAAGTTCCCACTGTATTCTGGTTCCCACTGTATTCTGGTTCCCACTGTATTCTGGTTCCCACTGTATTCTGGTTACCACTGTATCCGGGTTCCCACTGTATTCTGGTTCCCACTGTATTCGGGTTCCCACTGTATTCGGGTTCCCACTGTATTCTGGTTCCCACTGTATTCAGGTTCCCACTGTATCTGGGTTCTAACTGTATCCGGGTTCCCACTGTATTCTAGTTCCCAATGTATTCTGGTTCCCAATGTATTCTGGTTTCCACTGTATTCGGATTCCCACTGTATTCTTGATCCCACTGTATCCAGGTTACAACTGTATCCGGTTTCGCACTGTATCCGGGTTCCCACTGTAGTCTGGTTCCCACTGTTTTCTGGTTCCCACTGTATTCTGGTTCCCATTGTATCCGGGTTCCCATTGTATCCGGGTTCCCACTGTATCCCGGTTCACACTGTATTCTGGTTCACACTGTATTCTGGTTACCACTGTATTCTGGTTCCCACTGTATACGGGTTCCCACTGTATCCGGGTTCACACTGTTTTCTGGTTCCCACTGTATTCTGGTTCCCACTGTATTCTGGTTCCCACTGTATCCGGGCTCACACTGTATTCTGGTTCCCACTGTATTCTTTTTCCCACTGTATCCAGGTTCCAATTGTATTCTGGTTCCCACTGTATTCTGGTTCCCACTGTATCCGAGTTCCCACTGTATCCGGGTTCACACTGTATTCTGGTTCCCAATGTATCCGGATTCCCACTGTAGCTTACCTTAGATAAGTGTCAAGTACAGCAGTTGTCTGCGCTTCAACAACTTCTTCTTCTTTCAAATTTTTATAATGTTCTTCCTTAATTATAGACACTGTCATGGTATTTTAAAAAAAATTTCAAATTTTCATAATTAAGCGGGAAAAAAATCTTTTAAATTCAATCATTCCTCATTTACTGAGGAATTTTTTACAAATCAAATCACATGAAATCAAATCAAATCAAATCAAATCAAATCAAATCAAATCAAATCAGAACGAAAGAAATTAACCATAACTGCATATTAGATATAACTAACCGAGTATACGAGTATTTGGCCTGAGAGCTCACAAACTGCCATCACAAAATCTCCAATCTCCTTGACACCTAGGATACTGCTTCGGGCCCACACAAACACCCTGGACATTGTACAGAGTACAGTACAGTTTCAAGTTTCCAGTTTCCAGTGTACAGTGTACAGTGTACAGTGTACAGAGTACAGAGTACAGAGTACAGAGTACTGAGTACAGAGTACAGAGTACAGAGTACAGAGTACAGAGTACAGAGTACAGAGTACAGAGTACAGAGTACAGAGTACAGAGAACAGAGAACAGAGAACAGAGTACAGAGTACAGAGTACAGGGTACAGGGTACAGGGTACAGAGTACCGAGTACAGAGTACAGAGTACAGAGTACAGAGTACATAGTACATAGTACATAGTACAGAGAACAGAGAACAGAGAACAGAATACAGTGTACAAAGTTCAGTGTACAGTGTACAAACTATAGTGTACAGAGTGCAGAGTATAGAGTACAGTACAGATTACATTGTACAGAGTACAGAGTACAGAGTACAGAGTATAGAGTACAGAGTACAGATTACATTGTAAAGAATAAAGTGTACAGTAAACAAAGTACTGAGAAAAAATATGATATATGAATACAGGGTGTTTTTAATCTTGTCAATTTTGAAACTAAACAACTTTTAAATTTTTTGAACATCTTTTGACATGATCGTGTAATTCTTCATGCAAACAAAACCTCCCATTCTATGTTTGTAATAAATGTTATCGTAAGAATATTAATTTCTTTGTTCCCTTTATTAGAGAAGAATCAAAATTGACAGGATTAAAAAACACTGTATGATAAAATTTTATAATTTTTTAAAAGCATATATATATATAATATATATATACCTTACGTATTCAGAACCATTGCCATTCACGTCTGATCCCCTTAAAAAAGTGTTCTTTTTAGACATATAATAAGAAAAGATTTCTTTTTCACGCAATAACCCTTCTGTAGTCTTTACAAGAAAAAAAGTTTTATATCAACTACGAAATCTTCTCTTTCTTAATTAACGATTATATATAATTCATGGGAATTATTTTAAATATTAAAACAGGGGTGTATGTATTTTAAAAATTTAAAAATTTGACGAATTAAGCCAAAACTTTATTATTTTCCCAATTGATCGAAAAAACCCTGAACCATATCTAACTTCAGGGGAGATAATAATTTTCAAAAGGGGGGGGGGGGGCGGGGTTGATTTCTCAAGAATCCAGCCCTGTAAACGAAAGCTGGCTTGGAGCAACTGAATATAATGAGAATAAATTCCCAAATATAAAGCCACAAACCTCCACCTCCAGGAAATTCCTCCCATCATGGAGGATTTATATACAAAAGAAAAAAAATGTTTTGTTGTAATAACCTCCTAACCCCCCCAACCCCCCCGGGGAGGAGAAGAAGAATCATTGAAGATCTGGGGAAAAATACAACAAAACGGACATGAAAAATTTACTCCTAAAAACATTTAACACAATTCGGGTGAACAAAATCCTTAAAAATGTATACGCGCGTGAAAATATACCTAACTTCTGGGAAAAAAGAAAGATTTCCAAAATAGGGGGATGATTTTTAAGGAAAATATAAACCCCTCCTCTACAAAATAATTACCTACATAAATATTCATCCCTCAAACACCCAAATCCAGGGATAAAAACTAAAATCTAAAATTAACCTGACAATAAAAACATTGTGTGCAATTTCCGAGTTGGTGAGATAACTGGTTAATCTGTGAATCAACCTGTAATATAAAATTAAACTATTAAAAAAAATATTTATGAACAAAATAATTTTATTTTGCAATACAAAAAAGTTTCAAGTCGTGGTTTGGCCTAGATCTGATGGTACACATTAAACAAAGGTATCTTATAGCTTTAAATCAAGCCAGAGCTGAGTAGTGAGTAAAGAAAACTGTCCAAATTTTTTTATGAGAAAGAATGAAAAAGAATCAATTTCCAATACCAGACTTGGTGAAACAGAACTTTGCATTTATAGACAAATCTAGGTACCCGGACTTGTTTATATAAACAAACAAGCTATATGTGCCAGGCGTTGCCGAATTCGAATATAAGAGAAAAAAAAATAGTTTTTGAAAGAAAGAAAAAATTCTGATTTTTTAGCCTATGTTACCCCCAGGGGCCGGTATACCCTTGGTTAAGCCTTTTTGCCCGGCTATAGCTTGAAAAAATAAATATGTATAGAAATATATAAAATATATTAATACATGAGCGAAGAGCTTTATTATACGGAAAAGAATCGTAGAACAAGGTTATGTGGGGAAAATAAAAAAGAAGAACCTTGATGTTTTCTGAATCTGATTCTTAGATCGGAGCAGGAATACGAAGGCGGGAGCCGGATATACTTCAGGTCGGAGAACATAAACATTTCCGTTATTCCCGTCATGATCTTCGTCCTCCCCGTCCTGTACTCCTTCATTCCCACCAAGAGCTTCATTTTTCCCTTTTTCCAAATTTTCTGATATATTGGAGGTTTGAAGTGTACTTAGTTTAGCTGTCTGAAATACAAAAATTATCTTCTTCTTTACAATAAAGCTGTACCATCATATATATATATATATATATTATATATTATGTTATATATTTATATGTTAACTATAGCTGGTCAAACAGCCACACCAAATTTTTGCGACATTTTTGAAATTCCACGGGCAACGCAAAAATTATAAACGGTGGGAGTAACTATGACTACTATATTGACATGGGAAACGCCGGGCATATCAGCTAAAACTAATTCAAACTGGACCGAAATATATTTTCAATAAATGTGGAACTAACATCTACTTTTTTACTCTACAGAGGTTTGGTCCATCACCATCACCGAATTTTAAATTAAATAAATTAAATAGGCCCATCTTCTATTTCAACTTTTTATTGTTGCTCAGTCTGTCAGCATTTTTTTCTCTTCGATAAAACAATAATAGATTTTTTTACGGATTTACAATTTATTTTTAAATTTTCAAAATTTTTCGAAAATCAAAAGTTTTTGGAGACAATTTTTTATAACTTTTAGCATTTATAAACCTTTCCTGAGGGCATGTGAGGTCCCACACAAAATTTGGATCCGATCGGTTCAGCCGTTTTGACGTTAATCGGTTACAAACAAAAATCGTTCTCTGGGAAAAATACCTATTTTTTAACGAACTTTTGGTAAAAGTTGATGTAGTTTCTCAACTAATAAATGTATACATTTTATTGTTTCTACCGTATACCGTCCAAAATCCTTCCATTGGGATGGGGTCTAGTGAGCCGCCACAAAACTCGGGCCCGATCGGTTCAGACGTTTCGGCGTTTATTGGATTGAAACAACAAGACAGGAAAGGTTATGATCATTTTAAAACTACCCAAAAAGACCTTCAGAAAAAAAGAAGAAAAAAATCTCGATTTTTTTTGTCATACATGAAATAATAATTTAACGAATTGATTAAAAACTATATGAACCTGATTTGTGGATCACGAGATAGATACATTACTTCCAGCGCAACAATGATTGCATGCTCTGTCAAAACCTAAACATTTCGAATAGTAAATACAGTTTTTTTAAACATTCATGGTTCTTAAAAAGTTAGTTTTTTAAACTTGTAAAAATGTCTTTAAATTGTTATTTTCAGAAATATTTCGAAAATTCACAGAAAATCAACAAATGGTTTTTAATCCTGAACTGCATTATAAAATACTAAGTTAATATAATTTCCCCAGCCTTGGCCTTCAGATACTTTTTATAATCAAACAATTTTACACTAAGCGCAAACGTACACAACATCAGGGGGAAAAAATTCTAAAAGGGGGGGGGGGTTCAAGAAAATATATACACCTGTTTAGTGTTTATTGATAAAAACTTCTTTGTGAAATGTTTTATTAAAGCTACCTGGGGGAACATCAAATCTACTTGAGGTGTAAGCAAACAATGGAAATGATCAAGGGGGCTAACATTAATAATCAGCTGATCCACACCAAGCCTAAACAAGGGAAATGATCAAGACCTAAACAAGGGAAATGATCAAGGGGACTAACATTGATAATCAGCTGATCCATTCCAGGCCTAAACAAGGGAAACGATCAAGGGGACTAACATTGATAATCAGCTGATCCACACAATGCCTGAAAATTGAATATGATCAAGGGAACTTGAGTAAACTAAAAAATGTTTGAAAATAAAAATTTTGAATAAAAAAATTTAAAATATTTTCAAACCATTCTGAATTTAAGTTCACGTCTTTAAAACAAACTTTTACACAAGACAAATAAAAAAGAACAAAAAGTGCCCATTTTTTTCACCTTTTCTCGTCTGTCTTTTGAAGAGTAAAGATGGCTTCTTTCTCATGGTTTATCAAAGTAAAATTAAATTTATCCTTAGTGAAGGGTTGCTTTAGACTCAACATAGCCTAAAAAAAATAAAACAATTAAAAGAAACATTTCTCAAAATCCGTAGCTTTCGTGGTCTGATGGATTACGTTTTAAACTTTTTTGGGCTTTATGAGATCGCAAAAATACGGGGCAGCTATACTGAAGGATTAAACATTATCTTATCAACTCATAAGATTCCACTGTTGTGGATATGGAGTTAATGCTTTAAACATCCTTGTATGTAATTTTTTTTTTTAAACTTCAATTCTAATATTGAAAGTACGTAATTCATTCTATTTTGTTGTATAAAACGTAAAATTAAAATTATGATTCAAATTTTGTTGAAAATATTTGGAAAAGAGAACTATCACATTTTCAAAATAATAAGCCTACTTTAGAAGGACAAAACGGCATTTTAAGAGAAAAATATTTCATCGACGACCCCCCCCCCCCCCCCCCCCCCCCCATGTATGGTCTTTGAACCTGCTATGAACACAATACAACGATGTTTAGTGGACTAAAAAAGCCTAAACACACCTTTGCAGAGACATCCTGTAGATTACTGGACTATACTAAAGAAAAGTTTTACCCTTTGCTTAAACTTAAACCCGACCTGAGGGGGTCTTCTGTTGGTTGATCGGTTCAGCTGTAGCTGAGCTACAAATCCAAACTTACCTAAATAATAACATTTTTCAGGACTTAAAAAAAAGTTGCGCTCAGCGCAAGAATATACACAACTTTTGGAAAATCAAATTCAAAAGGGGGGAAGGGGGTGGAGAGATAAATGCTGTTTTTTTTTCAAAAAAATATAAACCCCTGTAGTATTCAGGGGGTATTGTGTTATTGTGGCCTTTTTAACACAATATTTATTGAATATATTCGGTCAATGATAATTCTGATATGATTATAATTAATCCACTCAATGAAAAATGAAGTTATTATTTCAGAACAAAATTGGAGACTTTTAAGAAGACTTAACACCACTAAATCGCCCTTTTTATGTCATTAAGTAAGCATCAATTTGTGTCAATTGAACCAGGTTAACATGGATTGGGTGGTCTTTTATTTCATAATAATAAATATTATAAAAAGTTTGTAAGGAGCATAGAAAAAAAGTATTTATCAACAATTACATTTGTTATTTAAGAATTCCTACAAAGCAAAAAATATTACGAAACTTAATTAGAATTATATATTTCTATATTTAATGTTTTAGTATTTTGACCTGCCTCCAACTATTCTACTACAGATATCCTCTAAACCATATCTACAACAAATTCAAATTAAAACAAAAATTAAAATTTATGATCTTAAAAAAAAAACATTTTTCCACCCCGATCCTCCCCCTCTCTTGAACGCATTTTTCTCCACAAGAGGTGGGTAACATTTCATTTTCTATAAAGAGGAGGGGTCGGGTACAAGGACAAGTAGAACATTTTCTTGCGAATATATGCAATATACAATATACATGATACAGTACACCTGTAGAAATCCTCTTAAAATAAAATCATCTATTTCTGAAATATTTTTTTTTCATTTGATGAATAAACTTGCTTAACATAGGATAATTCTATTCGAATGTTGTTTTAAATTTATTAAAATTTTAGTAAAAACGGCCAAGGGTGGATTTACATTTACAATAATAAGCGTGGAGGTTACTTCTGAAGCATGTATCCAGCAAAATGAGTTAATGACAAAAATCTGTACATAATTCAACTACGTAGGCCTAGTATAGCCACTCGAGACCACAGATACCATGCTAAAACGCTAGGAGCCAGGGGTGTAAAATAACCCCCCTCTTCCATCAAGAGCAATACCTGAAAGACCCCTTTTTCATGAGCTGAGACCATTTCTCAGCAAGCTTTAAATCAAAATCAGATTTCTGAGTTAAAAGATAACTCTCCCCCATTCCATGAGTTTCCGTCTGTTCCCCAAGATCGTTCTCAGTGAACTCAAACATTTTCTCTGTAATTTTTATTATTTCTTTTGTATCAATGCCGGAATCAAACGACAAACGAACATGGTGATCATAGAATGAAATCAAGTGGAAAAAAAAAATAGAAGTTTTTTAAAAACAACTTTTTTAATGATACACCCCTTAGTGTACCAAATCACAGAGTGCACTTTATCTGGAGTACATTGTATTGATTATGATTTGCGTAGAACAATGTGTATTGTGTTCTGTATATCGCATTTATCATATACTGTTAAATTTGAAAAGTAAAAATGTAAAGAATGGTTGGCAGATTTTTAATGAATTGTTGTCAGCATATTGCTGATGAATGAAAAATTCAAGAAAGCCTAACAAAATAATGTTTACGATCTTGCACATTTTTTAAAATTAATAATAAAAATTAGCTTCCGTTTTTTTCATAATTCTAGATATAAACAATAATAATTACTTTCATATCATACTTATATTCATTAAAATTGCATGTGTTATTTTTAATACATTGTTCTGTGTTCAATAAACATGAGTTAGCATAATGAAATCTGATGAAATTACAATTTTGTATAATATTTAATACTTCTAATCACATGCAAGGTTTCGGGTAGAAAATGTAGAAAATAGTTGTTCAGAGATCAACGATCGAAATCAAAAAAAGTCGAATTTAATTATTTAAATAAGTAATAGTTCACATAATTATAATTGATCAAATAGTATTATGTATTAAATTAAAGAAAAATGTTTGAATTTGACTGAGAACTTGAAACCGCGGGGTTTCAGAAAACATCTTGAAGATTTCTAGAAAATATCTTGCAGATTTCTAGAAAACATCTTGCAGCTTTCTAGAAAACATCTTGCAGATTCCTAGAAAATATCTTGCAGATTTCTAGAAAACAGTTCGCAGATTTCTAGAAAATATATTGCAGATTTCTAGAAAACATCTTGCAGATCACTAGAAAATATCTTGCAGATTTCTAGAAAAAAATTTGCATATTTCTAATAGAAAACATTTTGCAGATTTCTAGAAAATATCTTGCAGCTTTCTAGAAAATATCTCGCAGATTTCTAGAAATATCTTACAGATTTCAAGAAAACATCTTGCAGATTTCTAGAAAATATCTTGCAGATTTATAGATAATTCTAATTTTATTCAACTATCGTAACTCAGATAGAAGTGCAACGTTGTGAATCAATTATTATTTGGTAACAATTCGTTTAAAGCAGGTTTCAAGTTTTTTTCCCCCTAGAAATATTGAAATCCTAAAATTCAAAGCAAAAGAAGTAAATGCGTCAATGGAAGTTTATGCGTCACACAGCGCCACAGACAAAAAGTTCTCAAGAGGGACTGTTGATGTAGTTTCAATTGACTTAAATTTTAAAGTGGTTACATTCTCGATTTACAATAATACCTTGAAGACCCTTATTTGGTCCAAAATAGTTAATTAATCTTACAGCTGAGATAAAAGTGATAAGAGCACCGTTGTGAATCGGGATTCACAATGATACATTGAAGACCTTTATTTGGTCCAAAATAGTTATTATCTTAAATAAAATAGATAAAAGTGATAAGAGCACCGTTGTAAATCGGGATTCACAATGATACATTGAAGACCTTTATTTGGTTCAAAATAGTTATTATCTTATAATTGGGATAAAAATGATAAGGGCACCGTTGTAAATCGGGATTCACAATGATACCTTGAAGACCCTTATTTGGTCCAAAATAGTTATTATCTTAAATAAAATAGATAAAAGTGATAAGAGCACCGTTGTAAATCGGGATTCACAATGATACCTTGAAGACCCTTATTTGGTCCAAAATAGTTATTATCTTATAATTGGGATAAAAATAAAAAAGGGCACCGTTGTAAACCGGGATTCACAATGATACATTAAAGACCTTTATTTGGTCCAAAATAGTTATTATCTTATAATTGGGATAAAAATAAAAAAGGGCACCGTTGTAAATCGGGATTCACAATGATACCTTGAAGACCTTTATTTGGTCCAAAATAGTTATTATCTTAAATAAAATAGATAAAAGTGATAAGAGCACCGTTGTAAATCGGGATTCACAATAATACCTTGAAGACCTTTATTTGGTTCAAAATAGTTATTATCTTAAATAAAATAGATAAAAGTGATAAGAGCACCGTTGTAAATCGGGATTCACAATGATACATTGAAGACCTTTTTTTGGTTCAAAATAGTTATTATCTTAAAACTGAGATAAAAGTAATAAGGGCACACTTGTAAATCGGGATTGCAACTTCATATTTAGATGTCACTAGAAATTACGTTGTCAGTTCTTTGTAGTGTAAAATTGAATTGCTTAAGGCAACTTATGACTATTGTGGAATCTTTCCCTTTATGATGGCAGATGCTGGGGTGTATAATATAAATCCCCCCCCCCGTCCCATCCCTCAGTAAAAATAAATCTTTGTTTTGTGAGTCAATTTTTTTTACGCCAAAAGTAACTTTCAAAATAATATTTAAAGGGAAGACTGAAATTTGATAAAAACATAACAATATATAGTTTACACTTAACACCCCTGAACACCGTGGAAGATGAATTAATTGATTAATTGATTAGAAACGTTTCAAGAACTCCTCAGCACAGATCCTAGCTCGTGAATTGACCGCCAGCTTCATCTCGGAAATCTCTTTATCAATCTCCTGCAAGTATTAAAGGGTTGGTAATGTTGGTTGTATTTTATTAGCAGTGCAGAAAAGAGATATATATTTTCTTCAAACCATAATTTTTTCACACTATATAACTCCCCCCCCCCCACTGCGGGGTATCAGGGGGGGGGATATTGAGCTTCCAACATAAACCTCTTATTCGAGGCTAATAAGGCTCGGTTGCTTTGACAATTTTTTTTAAAGAAAAGTATCCAAGTGGTAATTCCGTTGAAATTCTAAAAACCGACGAAAAACTTATCATTTCCGTGAAAACTCCTTAAAGGGTATTTTATACACGAATCATTGACGATACCAATACTTGGGCGGGCTTGCGACGGCCCCAAATCTTTAATTATTGATTGTTCGAATCAACATATATCTAGATTATCCTATATCAGTTGTAATTTCATGTAAAAAAGCTAAAAAGTATATTTACTTGGCATTCATTACGTTTCTATATGTAACCTATGTACATTGTACACTATGACCTTTTAAATGTACGCAATATTGTGAAGTTACAGGATACATTGCAGGATAAATATATGAACGGGAAAAATAATAATAAATTAAAACCATTGTAAATCAATGAAAGATACAATTAATACAATGTTTGTAAATGAAAAGATTATCAGAATATATTCATTTTATCCATTCTCATCAAGACAAAAATGCATTTTTAAAGGAACATTGTGACAAAAACCAGTCACCCCACCCACTAAATTTTGCAGGGAAACAAAAAATAAAACGAACGTCGCGTCTTCCCAATTATTTGCAATTTTCCCTTAAGTTTCAAAATCATTTCCCCCACTCCGCTTCAGCAGGGGTTCGTATAATTCCATCTGATCAATCACAAATGTTGATTGCTTGATATTATGGGCAGAAATAAACCACGTTGTTATTGTAAACAATTGGAAGTATAATGTCAAGTTGTATAAAAAATTCCGTACTGCAGAATGTTTACTGCTAGGGAGTGTTTATTTTTCTGTACATAATAATTTATCTCTTATAATAAATACTAATATTTACATCTTTTAACACCCCAAATGAAGTGTAATACACGTACACAAAAAACCCTGAATGTACTTTCAACCCCGATCCCATTTGGAATCAGAAATGGAATTGTATGGACCCATGAGCTTCAGGGGTACGGAGAGGGGGAGCGGACTCACCTCCATGAAGTGAATTACGAAATCTACAAGTTTATGCCGAAGCATGACTTCCGTGTTGAAGTTTGTGATCAGGAAACTGATATCATAACCCTGCAAATAATTTTAAGATTACTGATTTGTTTTTTTATGCCCCGGGTGGCCTCTTCTTAATTTATGGTGAACACTGAACATATCCTGAAACCCCATATACTTCCAGCTTTAATATGTACTTTTTAAAGTTTAAACTTTATATTAGATATTCTATAATTGACGTGCCATTTTTGTGTATTTATTTATTTTGATAGTGTTCACATTTGAATTCATACTTCTTTCTTTCCAAGACATAAAATTATCTAAACCCCTACTGGTTGAACGGGGCTCGTAAAGTATTTTCGCCAAAAACATTTCTTTTTCTCGAGGGTTCTCAAAAAAGAGATGTTGTGGCTCAAATCTCGCCTTACTTCAACCAGTAGGGTTTTAAATAGTTATTTTAATAAAAGTTTGAAGAAGAATAAAGAATAGCCCTGCAAATAAATGAATTTTAAAAAGTTAAAATAATTTTGAACAAATAAATATATCAATAGGTTTTTAATTGAAATTTGACGGAATTTATCACAATATTTCCAGTTTCATGGTGATAAAGTTACTTTATCCACCTGCTATTAAATAAGATTAAAAAATTTAATAAAGCTTCATATGCTATTGTATTCTTTCCAAATGTTTTTGTGGCGATTTTTACTTTTTCTATTTTGTTTTCAATCAAAATAAAATTACTTTTAAATATTTTTAGTTATATCTCACAAATAGGAAAAAAATCAAGAAAAATCCCGGGAAAAATGTTTCCCCCTTAATAATAAACATTACTAGGACATAAATAAATATCTATTGAGAACCTTAATGGGATTTTTCATCCATTGGAAAATACAAATAAAAAGAAAGCATTGAAAAATGTGCCCCTTAGAAAATAAGATTGGTTGTATTCCTGACTTAGAAAAAGAGTATTTTGTATTTTTTCAAATGGTGAACATTCCTTCAAAGCGAAAAGAAAATAAAAAGAGAACCAATTTCAATTATCGGAAAGGTGTTCCCAAAAAAAATATCATAAATTTACTTCTATTGAAAATAGTCGCGTAGGGGGGGGGGGGGGGGGGGAAATTTTAGATTCCAAAAGGGTTTTTTTACTGAGGATATAAAAAAACATAAAAAAATGTCTACCTCGATTTTTTTTCTCCTAAGAATGACAAAGTTCTCTGCTCGTCTCATCATAAATTTGGTAAACTTGTTGGTGAGTAACTTCTCAATCTCATCTGCTTGCTTTATACAGATAGATACACGCACCTGACACACAATTAATTAATATCATTACAAAAATTTAAAAAAGATCATTTTTGAAAGAAAAATATTAGATTTTTGAAGAAATTTTTTTTTCTTCATTAAGCCTATGTTTCCCCCGGTAACACATGGGTTTCCTCAAACAATGCCAGCCAATTTGTCCAACCGTTTGGTCAGATATAGCTAACACATTTACATTTTTTTCTTCTTTTTTAATGAAATGTGAAGTTTAAAAACTAAAATATATATATATATTCAAACTCCAAGACTCACAAACACAAAATTTTGACCCAGATCCAAGAGTACAGATAGGAGCCACTAGATAAGTTGTGATTTGACTGAAGATTAAACAGTTCTTTTCTCATGTTTTGTATGCCATTTTGCAACTTGGACCCGAATCCATTTTTTTTCTGGCGAATCGGATCCATGGAGATAAAATGATGAATTTCATTGGATCTGAATCCTTAGTATACTAAAACCAGCAGATCAGGTAAAGATATAAATAATTACCGAGTTTATCGATGGTTCGATGAGAACTCTTTCCTTCTCATTCCTTGAAACTATGACAGGGTTCAGCAATAGTTCAGGGGACTCCTGGATCTAGAATATATAGAAACTATATAACAGGGTTCAGCAATAGTTCAGAGGAATCCTGGATCTAGAATATATAGAAACTATATAACAGGGTTCAGCAATATTTCAGAGGAATCCTGGATCTAGAATATATAGAAACTATATAACAGGGTTCAGCAATATTTCAGAGAACTCCTGGATCTATGATCCATGACCTTGAGCTGACACTTTGACCCAAACCTTAAGCTGACATTTAAACCCTGACCTTGATATGACTTTTTAACCTAATCTTTGACCCTAACCAGTAACCAGTCCTTTGACCTAAATATGACCTGAAGCCCTTAAACATCCTGCATTGGTCTGACAGAACAAAGCATTTAATAAGAAAAGATAAGGGAATGGTATTGAGCAAAAAATTACCTCAATTTCTGGTTTATTGTGGCGTTCGACCTTCTGCGAGCTAAAGTTCTCTAAGCACATGGCTGCCTCGAGGGTCCTCTTCACGGCGTTCAAGTAGGGCTTCAGGGTAGACGACTAGAATGTAGAACAAGATCAGAAACTGCTAGATTAGAAACTGCTAGACCAGAAACTGGTAGACCAGAAACTGCTAGATCAGAAACTGCTAGATCAGAAACTGCTAAATTAGAAACTGCTAGATCAGAAACTGCTAGATCAGAAACTGCTAGATCAGAAACTGCTAAATTAGAAACTGCTAGATCAGAAACTGCTAGATCAGAAACTGCTAGATCAGAAACTGCTAGATCAGAAACTGCTAGATCAGAAACTGCTAGATCAGAAAATGCTAGATCAGAAACTGCTAGAGCAGAAACTGCTAGATCAGAAACTGCTAGATCAGAAACTGCTAGAGCAGAAACTGCTAGATCTGCTAGAGCAGAAACTGCTAGATCTGCTAGACCAGAAAATGCTAGATCAGAAACTGCTAGATCAGAAACTGCAAGATGAGAAACTGCTAGACCAGAAAATGCTAGATCAGAAACTGCTAGATCAGAAACTGCTAAATTAGAAACGGCTAGATTAGAAACTGCTAGATTAGAAACTGCTAGACCAGAAACTGCTAAACCAGAACTGCTAGATCAGAAACTGCTAGATCAGAAACTGCTAGACCAGAAACTGCTAGACCAGAAACTGCTAAACCAGAACTGCTAGATCAAAAACTGCTAGATCAGAAACTGCTAGATCAGAAACTGCTAGATCAGAAACTGCTAGATCAGAAACTGCTAGATCAGAAAATGCTAGATCAGAAAATGCTGGACCAGAAAATGCTAGACTGTAGACGTAATTTCCCGTGACCCAGTACGCTTTAAAGCTTTGTCTAACAAGACCAAAACTATCTATGTTGTTTCTCTTCAAATTGATTATTTTCGTGGTTATCTACTAAGAAGACTTGCGGCTCTATACTGCTCAAATAAAGGTTGTTAGTTGTGAAATCGCTCATGCCAATTTCTAAATGGAGGGTCACTTGATATGAAGTTATTTTAAACAATGTTCAGGTTAATTTGTCTACTGTCTACAAAGAATAAAAGAAATAAGATTTAATAAAATCTGTCCAATCTCATCAAGAGTAAACCTTCATAGTTGCTTTGTTGTTCATTATCAAATAGAAAACTATTTTTTAAACGTTTGTCTGGCAAAAAGGAAAACACGCTGTCCCGTAAAATATCACAAAGGAGTGACATAAATGAATATTATATCCTTCGTGAAAACTTTTCTTCCCGGCTCATACATTATTTTGATGTTCTGGCTATACAACATTTTGTACGGACTATCAACATTATGTACGGACTATCAACATTATGTACAGACTGACAACATTATGTGCGGACTGTCATAATTATGTATGGACTGTCGTCATTATGTACGGACTGCCGACATAACACACCGGCTAACAACATTATGTACGGACTGTCGACATAACACACCGACTGACAAAATTATTTATGGACTGTCAACATAACACACCGACTGACAACATTATGTATGGACTGTAAACATAACACAACGACTGACAACATTATGTATGGACTGTAAACATAACACACCGACTGACAACATTATGTATGAACTGTAAACATTATATACAGACTCCCATATTTCAAGCTGTTACTATGAACATTGTGCACCAACTTAATATACTCCATACCGGATTTAGTGCCACTCCGTACAAAATGACTGAATATACCAAGTTGGCACTTCGACCAAAACTGTATTACAAATAGGGGGGTGGGGAGATATACAGATCTCCATCTACCTTATTTATAGATCTCTATCTACATTCTACATATCAACGCGATATACAGATCTGTATCTACGTATCTTCCTGAAATACAGATCTCTTTATTCCTATCTACCCGATATACACATCTCTATCTACCCGATGTATAGTTCTCTACCTACATGTCTTCTTATCTACCCGATGTATAGATCTCTACCTACATATCTACCCAATATACAGATCTCTATCATCTACCTATCTACTTGATATACAGATCTTGAATCTACCTGATGAATAGGTCTATATCTATCTATCTACCTGATATACAGATCTTAACCTACTAATCTACCTGATGAATAGGTCGCTATCTACCTATCTACCTGATATACATATCTTATCTACCAATCTACCTGATGAATATGTCTCTATCTACCTGATATACAGATCTTGACCTACCAATCTACCTGATGAATAGGTTTCTATCTGCCTATCTACCTGATATACAGATCTTGATCTACCAATCTACCTGATGAATAGGTATGTATCTACCTATCTACCTGATATACAGATCTTGATCTACCAATCTACCTGATGAATAGGTTTCTATCTGCCTATCTACCTGATATACAGATCTTGATCTACCAATCTACCTGATGAATAGGTATGTATCTACCTATCTACCTGATATACAGATCTTGATCTACCAATCTACCTGATGAATAGGTCTGTATCTATCTATCTACCTGATGAATAGGTCTCTGCCTAGAAGTATAACCAGTTTCATACAATGAAGCAATAGAGCCAAGAGATCTTTCTTGTGTCTCCTTTCTTTTATAACTTCCATATTTATTATTTTAAAGAAATCAGTTTTTCTGTCCCCAATCCTAATAATCACCATTTTCTTAATTTCTGGTCCTAATTATATTGTCCCAATTCTTATCATTTTCTTGTCATAACCTTGAATTTTTTCTTGTCCAAATCAATATTATTTTCTTGTCCCAATTTTGTCTTGTCCTAATTCTTATCTCTTCTTGTTTTAATCCTAATATTTCTTTTAGTCCCAAACATTGTCATTTCCTTGTCCCAACCCCAACAATTTTCTGAATAAATGAATCCTAATCATTTCACTGTCCTAAAATTGTTATTCTCCATCTGATCTTAACTCCTCAAAAGATCCCTATTTGTAGATCCCTTCAAAACAATACATTAATCTGGAGTTCCTTTGAATATCGTTATCATAGGATTTTGACCTTTAAAAGATGACAATTAATATTTACAATGTTAACTTTAAAAGAGAATTCGACGGTTTAACTTTAATAATTTATTTTATTTTTTTACAATATTTTTTAAATGTTTATCAAATAAAAATATTATAAGATTTCTATTATTTCTTGTTCTTTATTTTCTTCTTGTTCATACATCTTTAATACATCTTTCAATTATATATCAGCTAATTTTGAAAAGAAGAAAAGGGATGTCCTTGTAATTAGCCACTTAACAAGAAAGAACTATTTTTTAAAAAGATTTTGCTTTTTTTAGATGCTTGTATTTATCTGAACTAGCTAACTGGCTATCTTTTCTCTGAGCTCTCTATATTTGATTCTTGGGGGCATGAGGGGAGGGGGTTTAGCGTGAGCAAGTCACTCCCCTTTCCCTCTCCCTTTGCATTGCTTGCATTTCCCATTCCATGTTTGTCTTCATTCGCAATCGGTAAATAATATAGTGTAGCTTAAAACACCCCTTCTAATTTTCCTGTTCAATATTTTTTTTCTTTTTTCTTATTTATCTTGTTTTTAACACTTTAAGACCTTTTCAAATAGTTCTATTGACATCGAACTGTGGAGCGGATAAGAGAGAGATAAGGTGGTTTGTAGAAGGGACTGTCAACTAATTTAAAATTACAACCATGATCTGATTAAATTGATAGGATTTTTATCTCTTTTCTAAGATAAAAAAACAAAGATATCTTCATCATTGCTGCTTAGAGAAAGGGTTAAAGGATATCTTTGTAGATGGTGGAAAGTAACTTAAAAGGGAGTGATTGCAGTAGGCTTATGTAGGATTATGTCAAAAAATGTTTGATGGTGAATGCTATGAAATCAACATTTTAGGAATGCGTTGAAAAAAATCGATGATTTTAGGTTGTAATATCTGAATGATTTGTTTGGAATAAAATTGATTTTTTTTATGATCTCAGTCAAATATTGCAACTTTCTGAATTTGTATGGACGCGTCGTTCTACGGTATGAGTCATTTTTAACAATTTTCAGACGCAACAGACAGAAGAAAGATTAGTAGCTATCACCATCCAAGCCTATACCCACTTTCATTTTTCTCGAACACTTGCTTTAAGTTGGGGTCCATTCAAATATAGACAGCTCATTTAAACGGCAGAGTTCAATTCAAGAAAAGTATTAAGGATTAAATTGAGAAAAAATTACGAAAAATCATTTGGGAATATTGCATGCATCCTGGTGTAAAAATCTACGATTTATTTAGAAAATTACAACGGAACAGATTATGAGTCTGTAGATAGAATACGAATATGTTTTCATCCTTCATGCTCGGAAAAAGATTATAAATTTGCAGATCTTTGTTGCCATTAGAAAATTGGGGGTTCATGTTTTTGTGATAATTGATTTAACAAAATATAATATTTTCATCTTTCCTAGGAAATGCCACCTGGCTACTCAAAGACTGCATTTTTCTTAAAAAGGTAAATATAAAACCTTAAAAAAATGAGGAGTTATCTTTTAAGAATTTAACCACATAATCTTCAATACCCAAGACCTGCTTTTTGTAGGTAAATGCGAAATCGAATTTAAAACATAAATTAAATTAAAGCTTGGATCAAAACTTAAGTTAAGTAAAAAATAGATATATTAGGTGAAGTGTAGCCATGAAACCTTTCTCTTCTAATAACTTCTAAATTTTCTAATGCTGACATTTAGGATCAAGACAAAACGCAATCAAGTGACCTTTGAAGGAATAAAGATATGAATAATTAATGCGTGGANGACTCTAAACTGTCGAGGACACAAGAGAAGACTGAAAGTACTCCTCAGAGAGATGAAAACTCTCTATCTTTCAAACTATCTTCCTCTGATTCAATAATCTCTCGATATTAACTCTCAGTATGTGAATCAAAACTAGAAATAAACCACCCTTCACGCCTATTTTTCTAGCAACAATATTAGCAATTAACAATTGTTTTTCAAGCTCTCACTTTTTTCTTTGCATTTTATAAAAACTATAAATTTCTAGAATTTTTCTTTAAATTAGTTAAACCGTTTTGTCATTTGTTGTTGGTTACAATTAACAGACAAAATTGCAATTCCCCCTTTTCCCTTCAACATCAAAATGAAAGATATGTAACATGTATGTATTGTATATTGTACATTGTATATTGTATATGTTCCTGCTTAAACTCTACAAAACTCTATCTCAACAAGGGAATAGTTAAATGTATAAATTGTTTGAAGAATTGGCAGAATTATTAAAATCTTTGTTTTATATATAAAATATGTGCTAACAGCTTTAAATCTTAACAATAAAATTTACTATTAACATAAGGGACACACCTCGCAACCAGTTAGTATTAGAATCTTGTGTAGCTTGATAAAAGATTTTATCGAACGAAAAAGACAATAAAATAAGTTTGTCATAACCTAGCAAGGGATCCCGACTTTGCCTGAAAACTAAAACCAACTCAAACCAATCTTAAAACATTCCCGTGGTAAAACCGAGTTTCCCATCAAAATTTGAGGCAAATCGTTCAAGGGGTTCATGAGTCATGATCAGACATCCAAACAAACAGCCAGCACACAGATTACTACTTTATTATCATTAAAAATTATTTATAAACTCCGCCCGATTGAATCAAGTCGACGTCCTGATCTTTTACACACAAGCATCCGTATGAGAAACGCCAAATTCGAAATTTTCTGATACCAGAACTTAGAGAAATCCTCGTTTTTAATATTTTTCTCGATAATACCAACAAGGTAGAAAACCATGGCATAAACTTTAATAAAGTGAATTTTTTTTTTCTAAAACTCAGTTAAGAGACTGAACGTAATTTCAACTGTATTTTTATGCAAAGATGGTAATACCTGATTTACAACGGTACCCTTGAAACATTAATGTGATCAAAAATGTGGAAGATACCGTCGTTTTCTGACTCAAAAAGTTTTTGTTTCCCCGAGGTTCTTAAATCTCCATTACTGCTTATAAGCAAGAAATGCGCAAGTCACTTTCGCAGAGAAACCCCAAATAAAAATAAACAGTTTGAAGAAACAAAACATAAATATATAATCCAGAACTGATCAGACGAAGCTGGGTACCGTTGTATATTGGGCATTGCCATCTTTGCATTGAATTAATCATATGATTTTTACGTCATGTTAAAATAAAAAACGGCTTACCATATTTAAAACTGTGATAATACTCCTGAGGATGTCGTCTATTACTTTTTTCTGAAATACTCAATATTTATTTTTTGTCTAAGAACTATCTTGACTATATTTTGAATGAACATATTTTAGAAAATCCGCGAGATATCCATTCAAAAGTTAGGGAAAATAAAATTATATATCTATGACTGGCAACCATTAGTTCTCCTTGACAGCTTGGGATCCTGGTAGGGGGAGAGATAAGCGTGGAACTTGGGTGGCTCCTCAAAGGTATCCTCCCAGGTCCTCTTACCCTAAAATATTTTTTTTTATACATTTATTTTATGTAAATTTGTCTTTCACTAAAAATGTTGTCTCCCTTTTTCTGCAGTGTTTTTTAGGTTAAATGTGAGTGTGACATGGCTGTAACTATAAAGGGTTCAAAAGGGAAAAATCTTTAAAACTGCTGTAGGCCATAGGGGCATATATAGGGAGGGGAGGGCCGAGGGGGGCTATATCTGCAGGGGCAAATAAACTATAACATTACACTACAGGAGGGGGGAGTATTAAGCCAGGAGTGTATACAGGGATGTTTACTGGCGATCGGAGGCAATATCTTCAGGGGCTTGTGCATGATGGGGAGGGGTGTATCTACAGGGATGTTTACTAGGGGTGGGGGGCAATATCTACAGGGGCTTGTGCATGAGGGGGAGGGGCGTATCTACAGGGATGTAAACACTTTACAAGGGTACAGAGTCCAGGGTAGGGGGCTATACATATACAGACCTGCTTACAGTAGGGGAGAGGGCAATGGGCATATCTACAGGAATGTACAGGAATTAAAAAGCTACAAAAAATGAGAAAAAATAACTTGAAAACTCAAAAAATATTATTTATAAGAAAATTGGTAAACTTTTAAAAAAAGATGATTTACAGACTTTTATTCCAAAAGAAAATTAAAAGCCTTTGTTAAAAGTTCAATAAAAAAGATAATTAAATCTCAAAAAATATATTTGAAAAAGAACAGGGTGTAAATTTTTAAGAATCACGCCTCCCCCATCCCCCTTAGGGGAATAATTTTTGAAGATCCGGGGGAAATTTTAAAAATTAAATTTCAGAACATCAAAAAAGTTTTTTCATCCTTTTCATTCCAAACTTTTTCATACTTTTACCCAAAAATTTTATTTCCTCTGAATTCATTATTTTTCTTTAAAAAAGTTTTAGATCTCCGCGCAAACATACCTAGCTTCTAGGGGAAAGAAAAATTTCAAAAGGGGTGAATGATTTTTCAAGAAAATAAACACCCCTATAAGAAAGCGTTATAAAAATAAAAATAATGAAAAAATTTCTTTACATTGAATTTGCATTCCATCATGTCGTCATAGTAGTCTCGGCAGGCAGTTAGTCCCTGCTTCACCCCATAGTACTCCATGCACTCCATAGCACTCAACTCAAACTTCTCACAAAGAAACCCCTGAAGTAATATTAAATACTAGCTGAAGTGCGTTGGGTGGTGGATTAAATTTGAGTCGAAGCTTAAATATGGTTGGTTCCACTTAAAATTGTATTTGATGTTCAAGATTTAAGCCGGCGCTCAATTAAAACCGGTTTTTAGCGGATTTAAGACACGACTTAACTTCATTAAACTTGGACACTGAAGGGCTAATTTGTTTTAGAATCACTCGTTCACAAAAATTTTAAGAAATTAAAAGTAGAGAGACTGTAACGTCATCAACGTAAAGTTATCAAGAACGAATGTAATATTTAATTTTTTTTAACAATTAGACTTTTCTATTTTTATGAATAGATGGTTCAAGACATAACATAACTTTTATAACAATGTTATTAACTTTGAAAATTGATTATTTTAAACGGTGGTTTCTCAATAAAGTGACTTCGGAATTTCAGCTGCAAAAACAATCAAGAAATCTGTCAGAATCAAACATTCAATAAGCTGGAAAACAATGATATCGTACATACATATAACACAAATTCCTTTTAATACTTACCCCGCCATGAGAGAAAGATCCGAAAATATCAGTGAATATGGTTTTCAGAAATGGTGAGATGAACATAGTGTGGAGGGACCAGGCAGGGGACATGTTGGGGTACTTCACTAAACAATGCTAATTATACAGGGATACCCCCGGGCCACAAAGTATGAGACTGGAAAGACGATCAGAAACTCTTTAAATTTGGGGATTCCAACGGTCTAATTAAATTTTCTGCCTTGAATATAAATCATTTTATGCCTTATTCAAAGAAACCACTTTACAATTACCAATTACCTAACAGATTATCTAATTGATCAATTACTTTGTTGATCAATTACCTAATTGATTATTTAAATGGCCAATTACCTGATTGATTAACAAATTGATCAATCATCTAATTGATCAATTACCTAATTGATCAATTAGATAATTGATTAATTACCTAATTGATTAATTACCTAATTGATTAATTACCTAATTGATTAATTACCTAATTGATTAATTACCTAATTGATTAATTACCTAATTGGTCAATTACCTAATTGATCAAATGCCTAATTGATTAACTAAATAACCAATTACCTGTAGATTAACAAATTGTTTAGCTAATTGAATGATTAGTTAAACCGTTTAATTACACACTTATTGATTGACCGATTGATTGATTAAACGAATTAACAATTATCAGATTGATTAAACGCATCATCAATACCATTTGATTTAATTAATAATTGACCGATAAAACAGTTAAATTAAGGATTGACCGGTGGTTGCCCGTTTCATAACAGATTTCAAAGTAAGGATTAATAAATGGAATCATTAATAAAAAGTTTTTTAAAAGTTAAATAACTAATTTGACTGAACGGCTAATTCATTTACTGTACAATTCTTGCTGACTTAATCAATAACTTCACGACTTAATAACTATCAAATCAATGACTTTACCGACTTACCGACTATGAAAATGAAATCAATAACTAAATGAATAACTGACTTAATAAATCAATGACTGAACGACATACTGACTATATAAATCATGACTATACACACTTACTGACTAATAGATTGGGAACCCGGTAGTTACTCCCGCCGTTTACCCGCTATTGGTCGTACATTACGAATTTAACTATTTTTCCCAAAATCAAAACTTGAGGTAAATCGGTCAAGGGGTTTAAGAGTTGATCTGACATATGAACCAACTGAGATTAAAACTGTATATAAAAAATAGACTACTATACGACTACCTATAAAAGACTACACGAATATTTATAATAAATAACCTGGGTTGTACATTTCTCCTGGCAACTCCATAGGTTTCTCAGCCATGAAAGAGTTGCCATCAGTTGAACCGTCAATCTTAACAAAATTAATATATATATATATAGATATTAAGATGTAGGGCTTAGAATCCGAATCCGTTGGATTCGCAATATTTTGGTCAATTTCATAGAGAACGATCGCAGGGCTTGAGATTGAGAAGAGAAGAATGAAAAGCTTCAGATGAAAAGGAGAAAATATACGCGTTAAATCTAGATATCTATAGGAGAGGCGTCGGGCAAAGTGCATTTCAAAATTCGATTTTAAATTTCGTTTTGATGAGCTTATCCACGATTTTTTCATAATTCAAGATTGCAGTTAAAATCTAGTCTTTCCAAATCTTCCAAACATAGATCTCTTTTCGTTCAATTTTAATGTTAAACCAAGGTGAAATGCCGATGATAGCGGGTATTAAGTTTAAAGCTAGAATAAAAGTTTTCGATTTGGGTTCCCTGAGGCCGAATTTAAAGAATTTGAGCGGCGGTTTAAATTTAAGCCGCGGATTAGGTTTCTATCTGCCTATCTACCTGATAAACNCCGCGGCTCAAATTCTTTAAATTCCATCTCTGTTCTTCTATACCGTGATGTAGCATTGCTCATGTCGAATCGGGTTGAAATTAAGTCGAGATAATCTTGTATTGTTTAAAGTTGTTTTCAATTCCGTTCAGTTTTTCCAAATCTCGTTTTATTTACTGAGTTTAAAATACCAATTGCAAAAAAATAAGTGAATGTCAAATTTAGATATAAGTAGGCTCTTTTGAGAGAAGTGCTTTTTATATGCCTTGTGGCTTGTATGCCTTTATGCCTTATATGCTAATCGAAATATAATCAATTAATTGAAATGCTCAACGTATATCAATAGTCTTGTAATTTTAGTATGCAATTTGGACAAGAAATAGATTTTAATAATAAAAATATTTCTTAGATGGACAACAGACATTTTTCAGTACTAATTGTCATATATGTAAAAAAAATTGTACGTGTCTTTTAATGTTTACAAAATACCAAAAAACCATTTCTTCTGGTTACCAATTAAAATCCCAGGAGATTTTACGGTTGCATGAGGAGTAGGCTTTATCTTTTTAAATTTAAAATACAACCGACTTCTATAAATAAACTCTGGGGACATCGTAGACATAGTTAAACCACTTCTTTCGTGTGCCGATTTAAGTTGAAGCAAAACAATGCAACTACGTTCATGCATTTCCACCACATCATAAAATGGCTCAACCCTAGAGAAACATTTATGCCCCCCCCCCCCTCATAAAAATGTACATGGTCAAGGTATATTCAAAATTTGTTTGTATTATTCCAGGAGTAGATCATACTTTGACCATTTACATTTTTTGATGACGGGGAGGGGGGTCCAAAAATCCTCATCTAGGAAATTACCCATTTAAGTTGGTCCCAGTATTAATCGTAATGGAGATTTTAGTAATACATTTCATTAACAAATATAAAAAGGCAATCTTCACTCCTACTACCCCACCCCACCTACTTATTTTAAAGTGAGTATTTACCCCTGGCCTGGGCGTGATATTGGATCTATTGGACGGATGTTCAGGAATAGTCCAGTTCTTCCAACCAAACAATCCGGCGTCATCCTTCTTATCAGCCACCATACTCTGAAATAAGAAAAAAGCATTTTAAAAACAGAGAAAAGTACGTTAAGTTAAGCATCTCTATATATATATACTTTGTTTGTCTGTATGTTTGTATCCAACGCACGTCAACACGGCTGAACCAATCGGGCCCAATTTGATTTTGTACATGGATCTCGTGTGTAAGACAAGGATATATGTGGCCGCAGCGCCCGGCCCCCTAGCCTGGCCTAGCCGCGGCGTTCGTATGACAAGACGGACCCGGGGGTCCAAAAATCGTATATTAGGAAATTACCAAGATGCCAAAATTAAAAGCTGAATTAGGCTCTTAGTGCCCAATAACTCTATAATACTTAACGTAACTCCAAAAGCGCTAGCTAGAAAATTACTAAGAAATTACCGAAGTGTCCGGCATTGCCAGTGGAATTTTAAGAACACTAGAAAAATCGAAATTTCGAGTTTTGAATAAAAAATATCGAAATTTGTTAGCTCACCCCCGGATGGGTTTACTAAAAATTGTCAGCCAGTTTGTTCCAGTCGTTAGGCCTGTAGCTATGGTGGGAGCCTATGATGGTTTCCGAAGAAGTATACTGAAGAAAACAAGGAAAGAACAGTGCTTTGGATCGTATATATTATCTAAAATAATTATGGCAATAATCCTATTAATCCAAACAATTCTAAAACTATTAAGTAGATATGAAAAAAATATGGGTGTTCACTGTTCAATGTTCATTGATACGCCAAACCAAACCCGTTTCCTTAGATCAGCTGTTTGGAATAAAAAGACGATATGTACGAGGAAGACGATATTTCTCGTATTATTTCATTGCGTCGGACCTACGAGACTTTTGTAACAAAAAAATAGTTCAATTTTGACACTAAATCGAGGGGGGAGTGCAGAAGAAAACAAACGCCACCCAAATGTGTTTTGCAGCATCCGCACCCCTTAATTGGTATCAGAAATAAAAAAGTTAAGATTAAACCGTTTATTTCTTTAAAATAAAACCATATTGACCTCTGTTAATGGAGTTCATGAGTGCTTCTCAATTAGCAATGTAGCGCTAAAAATAATTACTAACTTAATACTTCATGTTCACTCATACGGGCGTGATGAGACCAATTTTTCTAAATTTTATGTTCTTTCTATGTAAGTAATTAGTTTTGTTGTATAGATGTTGAAAATCTAAACACTCTGTAAAGGTTTTCTAAAAATATCTTTTAAATGGAAATGGATATTACTTTGGGCGCGGTAAGATAATTTTATTAAACAGAAAGCCCGACCTTTTAGCACCTTAAATCCATTCTTGAAATGCAGTCATTATAAATCAGAGAATTGGATCTAAGATTTGTAATTTTTTTCTACCACTTCATGTGGCGACTTATAGATATATTTTCGAAACTGAGGAGCAATAGCAATATGTTCATCATGATACAGAATGCAGCCTGCATTTAAAGGGAGTGACTGAGTATGCAGTGTTGTCTCAAACTTCTTTAGTTTTTTGAAAATTATTAATTAACGACGACATAAAATGTAAAAATATTCTACAATAAACTACAGACGTCATGTTTAGGAACATTTAGAGAAAATGAAAATTAATCTTATCATCAAAAATAAGTAATCTTGTTCAATTATTAGTTTTCATTATCTCATTATTCTAGTTTCTCGTTATTCACACAGATGTTCTGCAGATTTTCTATAATTATTATTGAAAAGACTACATTTAAAGAATTTGAAGAAATCTGCGAATAAATTCAAAGAAAATTAGAAATTCAATATAATAATGAAAACGAAATAATCGAATTTAGCATGGATTTGTTGACAAATTTCTTTTGTGAAATATGTTCCTAGCCATCTAATTAGATTAAATTTCTTTTGTGAAATATGTTCCTAGCCATCTAATTAGATTACTGTATAATTTTTACTTTATTTTTCGTTGTCGTTATTTAATAATTAAAAAAAACTAATTCTGAAAGCGTATCCACCTCCAAATCAGGAGTTTTGAACGTCGAATTTGCGCTCAAACTCAGGATTTACAGATCTTTAAAAAGTGAAATATGTCTCAAATGAATCCTAAAGAAGTTTTCCACAACACAACGCCGGTCACTCCAATGATAAAGAATGCAACCTGTATCAGGATATGAAAAGCAGCCTGTATCATGATAAAGAATGCAGCCTGTATCAGGATGTGGAATGCAACCTGTATCATGATAAAGAATGCAACCTGCATCATGATATGACATACAACCTGTATCATGATAAAGAATGCAGCCTGCATCAGAATATGGAATGTAATCTGAATCATGATAAAAAATGCGTCCTGTTTAGGATATGGAATGCAACCTGTATCAAGATTAAGAATGAAACCCAAATCATGATAAAGAATGCAACCTGTATCATGATAAAGAATGCAACCTGCATCATGATAAAAAATGCATCCTGCATCATGATAAAGAAAGCAACCAGATCATGATAAACAATGCAACCTGTACCAGGATAAAGAACGAAACCTACATCATGATAAAGAATGCAACCTGTATCATAATAAAGAATGCAACCTGCAGTATGATAAAGAATGCAACCTTCACAATGATAAAGAATGCAGCCTGCATCAGGATATGGAATGCAACCTGTATCATGATAAAGAATGCAACCTGTTTCATGATAAAGAATGCAACTTGTTTCAGGATATGTATACAACCTGTATCATGATAAAGAATGCAGCCTGTATCAGGATGTGGAATGCAACCTGTATCATGATTAAGAATGCAACCCACATTATGATAAAGAATGCAACCTGTTTCAGTAAATAGAGTGCAACCCTTATTATGATAAAGAATGCATCCTGTATCAGAATATGAAATGCAACCTGAATCATGATAAAGAATGCAACCTGCATTATGGTAAAGAATGCAACCTTTATCATGATAAAGAATGAATCCTGTATCAGGATAAAAAATGAGAACTATATCATGATGAAGAATGCAACCTGATCATGATAAAGAATGCAACCTGTATCAGGATAAAGAACGAAACCTGTAAAATGATAAATAATGCAACCTGTATCAGGATAAAGAACGAAACCTGTATCATGATAAAGAATGCAACCTGCATCATGATAAAGAATGCAACCTGTATCATAATAAAGAATGCAACCTGCATCATGCTAAAGAATGCAAATGATAAAGAATGCAAGAGTGCAGCAATCTGTATCAATACACAAAGTGTACTCTGGGTATTGCATTATAGTTGCAAATTTGAATAAAAATTTACAAGTCATTGAGGCTCTAAAGGTTTTCGTTGTGTTGGATAATAAATGAAGCAAAATTAAGAGGATATTTTTTCCATAGCTCAGTGTTTCCGTTGATGAAAGGGACTGTCCGCGTAATTTTAAGTGATCCTTAATTTGAATAATAGTGTGTCCGATTGACAACAGTACCCTTTAAATTTGTGACTCACTTGTGTGGGACTTTTTAAAAAATGTTTGTTTTTTCTTGAACACATTGTTAGCAATTGCAGTTTTCTATTTAGGAAATATTAATATTTATTTTCTAAAAGTCTTTGATAATTTTTATTTACTTTCGAATATTTAAAAAATGTTTTAGTTTTGATAAATCAAAACGAAACAAAAGACGGGTTTTCTTTCGATTGTTTTTAAAAACGATTAACAACCCAACTTCAACTAATATCTTTTACGTCTAAAACATTTTTTAAATATTCGAAAGTAAATAAAAATTATCAAAGACTTTTAGAAAATAANTTTACCTTGATTATGAAATACGATTTATCAAATTGGGAACATTTTTTGCCTCGAAATCTAAGGGGGGGGGGGCTACGCCCCTCCCTGAATCTGTCAGGGGATGGCGAATGTCCCCCCGCCACCCCCCTGTGTCCGCCCCTGTATAAGTCAGTTGAACAAGATGCTTTGTCTCACTCTCAAGTAGGAAGCAGAGTGTAAGCTTGAGTTCTATCTTGAAAGGTATAGATACAGGAACCTTGACTTTGACATTGAGCTATATCTGTACGATACAAATTGAGGAACCTTGACTTTGACATTGAGTTATATCTGTACGATACAAATTGAGGAACCTTGACTTTGACATTGAGCTATATCTGTACGATACAAATTTAAGAATCTTGAGATCGAGATTGAGTTGTATCTGTAAGATACAAATTGAGGAATCTTGAGTTCGAGATTGAGTTGTATCTGTACGATACAAATTCAGGAATCTTGAGTTCGAGATTGAGTTGTATCTGTACGATACATATGCAGGAATACTTACAGCGACGTAGTATTATGATGAACATTGAGTTGGAGATTGAGTTGTATCAGTGCGATACATTGAGGGATACAAGAGCGTCATATCTGGATTGATACAGCCTGAGTATTATAGCTGAGAGTCAGCACAAGCTGTATCTGTATGATACATATTGAGGGATACAAGAGTGTCATATCTGGATTGATACAGCCTGAGTATTATAACTGTGAGTCAGCACAAGCTGTATCTGTATGATACATATTGAGGGATACAAGAGTGTCATATCTGGATTGATACAGCCTGAGTATTATAGCTGTGATTCAGCACAAGTTGTATCTGTATGATACATATTGAGGGATACAAGAGCGTCATATCTGGATTGATACAGACTGAGTATTTTTGATCGGACAAGCGAGTTCGAGAGCGAATTGTATCTGTAGGATACATATTGAGATTACAGAAGGTCATACCTGGATTGGTACAGACTTAACTTGGAGTTAGGCATTTGCCACATATATATACTTAACCCTATTTATCCTGACATCAGTTTTCAACTAGTTGAACCACTCTTTTTTCTTGTTGTGATACAATTCTTTAACATTTGATACATTTTTGGAAAGCTCTTGGGCTCTACTTCGATAATATGTGAAAAAAATGGCAAATTTGCAAAAATCCAATTTTTATTACAAATTCTCTAGTTTTTAAGGCAAAAAATGAGCAAATTGCAACAAATTAAACATTTTTAAAAAGCCCTTGAATGGGGAGGGGATGAAGACTCTATATCTATTT